ACACATAAGAAAGAGCCAACTTCATTACTGAACAAAGCTGTGACTTTGCAGCTATAGAAATTGAACTAATGTGTGCTAGCACATGTCACCTACCATCCTTCTTCAACTGAAATAAAGATGGTCTGCGATGCACTAACTCAGCAGTCACACTTTTTTGCATGCATAGGGTTCAAACATTTCAGAAAATGCTCCTTCAAGTAAGTTCATAAGAGTGAATAGGAAAAAAAATATATTGCTCTTAACATAAAAGGTATGTAACCCATAACACTGATCTGACTTCACCAGAACAATTTATTAAAGAAATTCCATAGGTAATCTTATTTTAGGAATAAAAAAAGTTTAAAAAAATTAAAAACAGAATTAATGTTTAATCCAGACCTACCACCTCAATAACATGAATTTTGTTTTAGTTAAGAGGAAAAAAAATGCATGAGTTGGCTTATAAATTAAATCAGCTCTAAAATGCTGCCAAGTTGCTATTGTACTTGCTGCTCTCCTTAGCAATTAAAGGCTACATTTATCTTACAGACTATTCCTACAACGTCCTCTCATCGTAAGCTGTCAAACCATTTTTCATGTATGAACATTCTAGCCCCTTGGTAAGGCAGCTCTGCAAAACTCTCAGCACCACACTTATCTTTCTACCTGTATCTCTCATACATTTGAAATGCTTTTCCCCCAGTTCTTGAGAAGGAAAAGGATAAGCAAACTGTGTTTACTGCTGAGTTTTCCTCTTGATTTTTTAGGTCATTATCCCTTCAGGAGTATGCTGCCCACTCATTGGAAAGAACAGATGGGCAAAGAACTTCCTCTGCTTGCCTACAGCAATGACACAATCTGCATCCTCCCTACTTCCGTGCAAGAATTACAGCAGCCGGGGGAAAAAAACACCAAAATGAAACCACAAACTTCAGCTGAGCTGCACCATGGCTCTAGCAAAGCTGGGAATTAAAGCAAGCAGATCACAGCCCTGCTTTCACACCCCTGCTTTCAAACAGCTTGCCTCCACTTTTAGCGTTACCAAAATATAGGTGTAAAGGAGACTGGAGGAAAAAAAAAATGGGGGGGTGGGGAGGTTAGACAATTTTCAGGAGGGGTTGAAGATGATATATTGACATCTCACCTTGACCTGCACATTCTAATTATCGAGGTGTGCGCCCATCTTTTCTGCATCTTCCCTTTTTACTTTCATTAGAGGGAAGAGGGGAAATGACCTTCAATCAAGAGAGCAACATTTGTTCTGACTTTGTTATTACTTTTTGTCATTGTCAATGAAGCTATTTAAAAAAGCATGCATTTACTTAAACATATACATTTAAAAAAAAAAAATCAATGCTACTCCAGTTGCCTTCAGATGGAGACAAGTTTAACTGAAGAAACAACCCCAAGATAGAAAACCGAGTGCTTCCTCTGAAATGTTTGAGATTCGCATGCCAGTAAAAAAGCCAACTTTCAGAACTCTGTAATGAAGAATTACTGTCTATCTTCCTCTACACTTCAATATGTTTAGCAAAAATAAAAAGTATAAAAGAAATCCACCTTAACCCAATCAATTACGTTAGCTGGGGGATGCTGCTAAGTGAGTAGGTTTTGCTATTATTCCTCCATCCCTAAATCACCTAAAAGAGCTCAAAAATCTTTCAGAAGTGCAACTGAACAGCACAGTGCAAGCTGTAAATTCTGTGTAAAAAGATCACATTCCATTAAGACTGCAAAAGAACTCTATTAGGAAATAAAACACAGTAACAAGACTGTGGGGAATACAGTGGTAAAGAAGAAACATTTGGAGCCAGTGAAGAAAGCAACAAACCTCTTCAGAGCTCGTCCCCAGGTCAGTCAGTGCTACCTGCTGTTCCTTATGGAAATTGTGGAGCATATTCTCATTGTTAAAGGCCACAACTACTCAGGAGTATCAGGGGGAAAAAGGGATATCATCTTTAATGACCATAAAACTGTCTTATCCAAATACATACAGTGACATCACTCAATAATCTATCTAATGAAAAGCCAGCTGACGTGACTTCAACCAGGGAGGCTACAAAGCACCAAATGTCTCTTTACTCACTAGCCTAGAGACTCCTGGAGTCAGTATTTGTTACATTTACACAATTTTGAACGCTGTGAATACATAAGGAAAAGAGAAAAAGAAAGGTAAGAAAGACAAAGCTGCTTACGATAAACCAAACATGAAAATCAAGGGCTGAATCAGATGACAGCAGTTGAAACTCAGCTTTTGAAGAGAACTATGGAGATTAATTAATAAAAATGCTGTTCCAAACAATGACTATCAGAGTTTGATACCTATTAATGCAGAATAGGTTTAATTTTATTGCTGTATGCTAATAAAATGACAACTTTCCTAAGAAGACTTAGCTTTCCATGAAACATTAAGGAGTTCACCTCTCCTGCTGAGTGTCTCCCTGTGAGACAGAATTATTCAGATTAGAAACAAGAAATATGACCTCAAAGGTAAAACTTCAGTTCTGGAAAACACACACGTTATCTTATTGCCTGTTTGCCTTTAAAGAAGTGGAACAAAAAATAGAACCAATGTTACTTCTTTCAGCAAATTAGTATGGCACACAACTATTGAAGCCAAAGTAGACACAATTAAAGGAAAAGAGAATCCAAAAGAAATAAAAATCTCTCTCAAAAAAAAAAATGGAGATACATTTTTCAGGTTAAGTATATAATATTATTCTCTTGATTTTGCAGTGCACAAGCCACTAAGTCTTTAAAGTCTGGAACTTCAAATTCGGGCTTATCTCAGACAAGATGCTGGCATTGTCAGTTTATTAAAAGTGCCACTTACAATTTAATACCACCAGGTATTAAACTCCTAAGTAGACTAATTGGGGGGTGAAAGAAAATTCAACTTACAATGCAAAATTCTGTCAAGCATATAAATCACAGACTATAAAAGAATCTCCCTTCCCTTCACACACACTTTTTGACACATCTGCTTAGAGAGTACAGGTGTAAAATGGGCAACATCAAATCCAACCATGTCAGTATGAGTTATGTTGGCTTGGTTAGAAAATACTCAGCTGTCACAATGGTCCAGGAGAAGTAAAATCATTAAGAGAATGCATCACATGGAGGAACATGAAAGAGAAGCAGGCAATTTTCTAGACTTAGTGGAAAACTTCCAGGAAAGAAAGAAGCACAGCAAAGATTAAAGATAACCATGACAAAGGAGAGGGGTTGGGATGCTGAAGTCTATCACCAGCACAGCAGAGCAAGCAGGGAGAAGGCGATAAGACAAAAAGGTGAATATGGCAAGACTAGAGCTACAAAGAATGTCAAGGAACAAGAAAAGCAGAAGTTTAAGATGCAATACCGCAATCCAAGAGGTAATCCACATGGGGGACGATCTGACAAAATTTTTAAATATAAGTGAGATATCTGTTAAAGGTTAGGTCACATTTCAAGGTACCTTCAGATGCTTCTATTTGTACAATGAATGTAAGTTACTCTTCCAAGCAAGCTAAAAAAAAAAAAATCAAAGTAAAATATCAGGAAACAGAAATAGAAATAGTACAAGAACTGCCTGAATACTTCCACATGCACAAAAGGTTCTCTCCCTCCCCCCCACTTTAAATAGCAAAGTCAAGAGTGGCATCGTACCAGAAGGTATGAGGGATGATACAGCACACACTTATCTCACACACACACTCTTAAAAAAAAAAAAAGAAAAGAAAAAAAAAAAAGCTCAACTCTCAACAGTCACATTGAGCTGCTCACTCTTCAGAACAAACCCTGATTGAAGGCTGGACACAGTCCAGAAGTTCTTAAAAGCTGCTACAAAGTGACGGAGCAGCAGAAAAACTTTTAGTAAAATAAACCTCCGTGGGATGTCCTGTAACAGGCTGTTTATCTGGGCTGACTGAAAAGTAGTTACAAAATATCATGTATTAGGTGATAACCGCCAGGGAAGCATAAAAACACTGCAAATAGGTTACAAAGGATCGGTTTACAAATCTGTCGTGGCTAAGACCCATCAGTATGTTTCTAGGTCAAGAGTGCCCCAGCAGAACGCCAGATCTAAACTTAAAAAGCCAACATCCCGCAGCCGAAGAGCAGAGCAGGGCTCAGGTAGAAGGCAGCGAGTGCTCCTTTCAAGGACGGAAAGCTTCCTTCTGAAAGAGCTTCAGATTTTCAGACTGTAGAAAAGCCTCCATTTCTGTGTAGCTGACAGATACGGTCAGATTGTAAGTGGGAACCCGCGTGGTTTTGAGCAATATACTGCAAAATAAAGCACCGCTCCATTTAACATCAAACAAAGCATCTGAGGAGAAGTTCCAGCAGTGTCAAAATGCACGGGTCTCTCCCCACACTCAGATTCCCATCACGATGTGAGAGCACTCTCTGCACGGTGGCTCACTCCAAATTCAGTAAATATCGATTATGAAATGAACTGATAAAGATGAAGAATTGAATTCAACTCCAGTGCCAGAAGCAGCACCGGAATTAAAACTGTTTTCTTCGCAGAGGTTCACGCACCTCTTTGTAAGGGTGCACGCTGCCCAGGACACGCGATAACGCTTAAAAACACTTTAAAAATGAATCGCTAGGAAGACCAAAGAAGAGCCGCATTCCGGAGAACCGAGCACGTGAACTCTATCAGCAAAAGCCATTATGACGGATGGCGCCGCTCTCCGAGCCCCGCGCAGAGGCCGCGCTTCCGAGAGGCGCAGCCCCGGCGCTGAGGGCGGCAGGGCGGCGCTGCCGGACCCGCGGGCACCGCGTAGAGCGGCTGCGGGAACGGCGGGCGCCTCACCCTGCGGCTCGAGACAACGCGGGAGAGCAGGGCCGGGCCGGGCCGCCGGCGGGCGCTGAGGGGGACGAGGCCGGGGCGCGGTGCCGGCCGTTATCGGCGGGCCTCCCCTTCCGGCACGGAGCTGACAGCCGGGATCCCCCGCCCCGCCGCGGAACGAGCGCCCCGCCGGAGCGACCGGGACGGGGACGGGTCCCGCTCCTCCGCCCCGCCGCCCCCTCACCATTCTCCTCAGGGCCGGGCTGGGTCTCGGCGCCGACTCTGGCTCTCCTCCCGCCGGGCAGCTCCTGCTCGTGGTTCGGCGTCGGCGGTGGCGGGGCCTGTCTCCATCTATCGGGGCTGAGCTCGGCGGCTGCGGAGGGCCGGGTGGGGAGAAGCCGGGCGAGGACGTCGCTCCCGGGGCGGAGGGATGAGCGGGGCGAGGAGGACGGCGTTAGCTCGGCTCCGCACCGGGACCCAGCGCTGGCGGCGGCCTCGGCCCGGCAGCTCTTTCTCATAATTGTGCGACTCGGCCGGCGGAGAGCCGCGGCGCTGCCGCGTCAGCGCGCACCGCCCCCGGGAGGCGGGAGAGGGGCCGCCCTGCCCTGCCCGCCGCTTCCCGCCCGCCGCGTGGCTCCTCAGGCCGCCCTCAGGGCGGGGGCGGGACGAGGGCCGAGCTTCGGCCTTCCCGCTCGGCTCGGGAGCTCGGACGGCGTCCCGAAGCACCCTAACGCGTTAAATGGCCGGCAGGGGCCCCGCGCGGCCCGGCCCTCCCGCCCCCTCACCCTGAGAGCTCGACACCTTTTTGAACCTTTTTTAATGTAAATACGCGAGCTTTAGCAACCATCTGTAAAACTTCAAAGCGACAAACGCGTTTTTAAGCTCAGTACGAGCAAAATCAGAGCGGGCTGCATCCATTCCATCTCTACCGCAGCCCGCACGGGGCCCAGCCTGACCGTGACCAGCCCTGGATCAGCAGTGCTAAGCAACAAGCCTCGTGCTTCAACCCCGCTGCCGCTCCATCACTCATCTTTAACATCCAGCTGTGCACTAAAGCAAACCGGCTATCAGAATTCCTAAAGGAAGACAAGTGATTATTTGAGTTTGGTTCAAATTACTTGTGGATCCTAAATATGAAAAATAAAGATTTCCCAGAAAAGAAATCTCTCCCCTGAACTGGATGTCCAACATCACTTTAGACTGCTAACTTCTATTTAAGGCACTCACAGTTAATTCCCTGTTTCCTCTGCAAACACAACATGGTTCAAAACCGAGTTAAATCTGCCTCAAAGGCCCTGGCACTGTTTATAAAATACCACAGCCTTACAAGAGTGTTCATTTCGTATGGTTCAAATTCATTTTAAGTATCATGGCATGTGGATGTTCCTCATCAGGCCTTACCCTTTGTCTGCCCTGTTCTGAGTTTGTGCTGCATCTGCCACTGACAGCCTGAGGTTCAGCACACTGCAGATTTACTGCATCGATTCCAATGATTAGAATGAGATCATTAAATCAAGCATTAATAAAAGCAGCGGAATTGGCAGCTAGATGCCAACCACTGTCAGATTTACGTGTGGTCTACTGGATGGATGCACCAGATTCCCAACAACGCAATTAGGCACCAACAATGAAGCAACCCCAAGAAAAAGACTGAAACATACACACATGAAACTAACACTTCAACCTGATGTTAACTGAGTACTACACAAGTTTTAATATACAACAGAATTAAACTAAATTGAAGATACTAAGAGACAAAGTGTCTTTGCATTAACAGCAATGTAACAGGGCAGAGTTGAACATTAAACTTGGGCAGAAACACCCATTTGCCATAGACAATAGGTGCAAATCTGATAAAATCGATACAACCATGGGACATTCAGCTCCACCTTACTTTGTTGCTGCAAGGGACTTCTAATGCTTGCTTTCAGCTAACTTCAGTGGAATTTGTGGTATCTTACACAAGTATGAAAATAAGGCTCCTAGGATCAAGTGTTTCCAGAGGACAGACAATTCAGGACACTTCAATTAGTTCTGAATACAACATCTCACAACAAACAAGTTAAATTATCTTACTGTAGAAAAAAACCTAAGCCTGCTGATCTACAGCCACTTGTTCCTGTCCAGATTCACTTGTGCCGGTGCCCTCTTGGCTTAGTGAGCAGGAACAGAAGGAGCAGTGGAAGTCCACTAAGATTTGCTGGAGATGGTTCAAGAATTTTCCAAAAGGAAAGCAGAGAGAACAGGGGATTTCTGAATTCTTCAGATAACAATATAAAATACTTCTATCAATGCACCACAACACAGCCTCCTCTATTCGTCTTTTTTCCTAGTTAATTAATCAAGCCTTTTCACATCTCAAATGAAGTTTATGGGCAAGTTCTTAAATGACCAGGACCTTCCTTTCATCTCACAGCAATATTTGGATTATACTAACTTGCTTCTCACAGGCTTAACATTTGTAAATTCAAGAGCTAGAAGGAGCAAGGGAACTCAGAAGAAGTAGCTGGAGGCCAGCCTGGACACGATGAGAGACTTTTCTCTATTGTTTCAGGAGAATGTGCTTCAGGTGAGGAATTTTCCACGCCCTTTTTCCTGTTGATCCCTGCAAAACCGTAAAAAGATTGACATCAAATTGTTTGAGAGTTAAACTGTTTGTGATAAGCTCAGATGGAGAGACAGCACATTGTTTCACTGGAACAGCTTGTGAAGAAAACACAGGGAAAATGAGTCATCAACATCCTCTCTGCCTCATTCTGTCTGAGGGGGGGAGGGAGGTCAGCCTTCAGAAAGAGCATTGTGAAAAGGGGCAGGACATAGCACCACAGTGAAATAAATCCCCATGACCTGGAACTGATGGCACATGGCATAAGGAAGTCACCTTATATCCTTTTATTACATTATTCAGTCATACAAAAATGACATGATTAGACCCTAGGCTAGCAGTGTTAGTCATCCAAAAAGAGTGAATTATGATACACTCAGATGTTAAATCTTTTTCCCATCACTAAACTTCAACATTAGAGGACTGAGTAGCAGAACAGATATTTGATAAATAATCACAGAATCACAGAATGGACTGGGTTGAAAAGGATCTCAATGATCACCCAGTTTCAACTCTCCCACCACAGACCAGGCTGCCTAGAGCCACATCCATCCCACTTGTTTTACCTTCCAACCACACTGCCAGTCAGCTCAAAATTCCTCTAATATCTCTTCCAAATGAGTAACTGTCAGCTGTGAATTATAACAATAAAAGCATTATTTAAAATTAATTGTATTTGAAGACCATTACCTGAAGCACGTTTCTGTTATCTAAAATAGAATACAACTGCTTTAAACAGAACTCTTTTGCTATGTGGTTCCTGTATCTCATTTTTATATCTCAAAGCAAAGTATTAATCTGTCACTAGCACTTTATATTGGGTAATTATTTGTTATGTAATCATCACCAGAACCAGTAAAATTTGCAATGACAAACCTAATAAGTTTGACATTGAATTAAACCAGCTGTAACTTGATCTTACCACAGTAAGTGCTCAAGGATAAAGATACCACTTTAAGGAAATCCTTATCTCACTACTGCAAATCTAGTAGCCATGAAGAAGCTATTTGACTGTTCACTCCCATGCAGATGAGCTATTGAGTCATATACAGAAAGAAAAAAATTCATTCCTTTCTATGAGAAATGATATGAGTAACCATTAAACAAAAGTAATTGGTTTTGACTCTTTGACTCCATTATGAAGTTTCCCAGGGATGAGATCTGCTACTCTGCAGCTGCTCTTTTAAATAAGCTCTCAAAATGTGTGTTAGAATGCATATAGTTAAATCAGATGCAAATGCCAACTGATTGGGATATCTAGTTAATATCCTACTTGACGTCAAACAGATTCTCTGTAGCAATATTTTTTGCCCTCCTACTGATGTCACCTATGGCATAAAAGACAGATTATTGATTCACTTTTCTTTTGAAAGTGAATTCCCGAAACCCAAAATTCTCCAAAAAAAGTGTATGATGACACAAGATAAGGGGACTTCACAAGTCCTCCCCATTATTTGCAAAGGGGTTTTCTAAAGCCAGAGTTTCTGACATTTCTGTGGAAACATTTTGCCCACTATCTCTCAGATAATGCACCAAGTAACACTGCCAACACTGAACTTTTCAAGGATTCAAAAGTGTTATTTCAAAAGGAGGTAAAGGAGAAATAGTTTACTGCTGTGAACTACAAAACTTAGCAAATATAACAAAAGGAGGCCTGTTTCTGTTGAAGATAGGGAAAATAAAACTCAAGAAATGTGCACCTGCATAGTTTTGAAATGGTTCAGAAATGGTTATCACTTTGTTTGTATGTTACACTCCAGAGTCACACATCATCTTTTCAAGAGGTCCCAAAGGGTTAGTCATCTTTTTGCCGCGTACCAGTGTTCTTAAAACTTTGCATTTTAAAGATAAGTAGTTGAACAGTGTGTTAGCTTTTACATCTGAGAAAATATTCCCTCAAAAGAACAAGCACTTTGTCTGTGCACATTCAAGAAATAGGTCATAAAATTTACAGAAATTTCAAAATATATCAGGAAAAAATGAGTACGTAAAATTAACTTAATAAAAAGTCATAAAACAAATTATCCCCTTTAACAACTGATTTAGACTCCAATATCCCAAGCAGTGCATGTATGATTTAGCTCACAGTGACAGAACTTCTCATGTATTAAAACTGGTAAAGCAGCATTAAGTTCTGTGCAAAGGGAGTAATTACAAAAAGGAGCATGGACACAGAGTATCTTTTGAGAATAAAGAGTGCTGATGTGCTATTACCCAAAGGCCAGCTGTGCAGTTCAGCTACCATTTTAAGAGGAGAACCATCACAAAAGCATGAGGGTGTTTTTCATGTATTTAGTGTGCTATCTTAGGGCTAGAGCATTATTTCACTTACAAAGTCAGCTATCTACTTTGCAATGCACATGCAACCAAAGTTATGTGAGGCTATTTAGTTTTTCAGTGCTTACTGATTTTTCTGAGACAGGCAGATTATTTACAACACTAGGAAAGGACTGTAGAGTGGGTTTTCTGATGGCAGTGCAAAGTGCCCCATGACCTAACACTCCAAACTCAGAGTGCAGAACCAGTAACTCAAGTTCAGCTATGTGGTATGGCTTGTCACATCCAAATTAGGCAAATGAGGGTGTGGGTTATCCAGTTTAGAAATCAGCATTAAAGATATTCCAAGAGAAGGAAGGGATCTTCAAGCTGATGAGCGAATTAAGGTTGAACACACACAGTAGTTCTGAGCAAGCGGTTTTTTGTTATACAAGTTCCAGAAGTATACAGAAAGATACATTTCCCAACCTATCATCTGAAGTATAATATGAGCAAACCCTGTATTTGGGAATACGATATATTACTTATTGCTCAGAATACATAGTTTAACAAACACAGGCCAAAGTCTTGCACAAAACAGCCAAGGGTGTGCCTCTGAATGTCTCTACTTACATGCGTAAAATCAGTAGCTGCCAGGAGCAGTACAGGGACAATTGCACTATAATGACTGACCCTTTGCAAAATTTCATCAATTTCTGACTTAAAAAACAAACAAACAAAAACCCTAAAGCAACTTTGTCAGTTTTGCTCCTTCTGAACTTTATCTCCCTGTATCTTCTACACGATTTGCTAAACTTCTCTATGAAAACTGTTTTTGCTGCAATCTTCAGACTTACAAGTTCTTGTTTTAACTTGCTAGCCGTTAAGCTGGTGCATGGTGGACATGTAGTGCACACAGATTCTGCACTTCCACTTCTTGCACAGCTGGAGCATCTCCTTCTATACCTCCACTGTCCAGACTCACCAGACCCAACACAAGACTAGTATTAATCATCCATCTTTGAACTCGTATTTGACAGTCATCCTCTTGTGGTGCCAAAAGCAGACTCCAGAGTTCAGAGTTGCTCGACACACTTCCAACACCTCGAGCTCCTATCCTTATTCTACAAAACCTGCATATGCAGGTCTGTTTAAAAGTTAGGTGTGCTCCCTTCAGCAATTCTATAAGCATGTCATAAAACTTTCTACTGCTTTTAAGCAAGCCCCATTTAACATGTCAAAGAACATTAGAAAATCGTAAGTACTACAAGCTAAGGCCACAAAGAATAGTTGATTTTAAGAAAAATACCTATTTTAAGGACATTTAAATATGACTGGCTGAATTTCTTCCTGTTGTATTGCCACCAACATAGATTCAAGAACTGATTTTTCAAGGCTTGCTTTTCCTCCCACAGAAAACTATTTCAGTTCAATAAAAACTGTTTTCAGCTCTTGTACCAGCTGTTAGAATTTACTGACCTAAACTTAGCCCTTCTGTAGGTAGCTCATGAAGACCTTATTCACCCACTTCACTTCCATCTGTAAAAAGGAATTCTGCAGGTGAAGTTCCTGAAAACGTGGGGACCTAAAGAATCCAAACACATTTTTTAAGTGCGTTAAATCACATGAAGTACAATGGAGAACTTCTCCATACCAAGCAAGAGAATTATCAGTGAATTCTTCAGATATTTAAACCTGCTTCCACTCTTCCATCAAGCAATTTCTTAATACGTAAACATGAAATGGAAGTAAATCTCAGCTTGCACCTATCTACTTTGGAAAGCAGGAATCAACTGTCTATAGTAACATGTACATACGTTTTACAGTGTGTAAGTTGGCTCCCATAAAATATAATAAAAATAAATTGATTTATTTCTCAAGTTCCTTAATTCAGCCAAACCTTTACCCTGTTTCTCTAGAGCAGAACTAACTTCTGTGGTCTTGTCTGCAGAGGCTTGTTGTCCCATTTGTTAGAGGAAAAAGTACAAATCGGCATGATTTCCTTTTTTTCCATTGTTACTAGAGTTTAAATTCATTGCTAACACTTATTTTTAAAATCAGCTATCAGAGAAAATTGCCTGTTTCTAATATATAAATACCCCAATTTTTTTGAAGCCATGATGAGAATACAGCACAAAGCTCGATACTGGATTTGAGATACTGTTGAACTTTTAAGTGTACCAATACCTGCTGTATTTCCTTGTATTCTTGGGTATTACAATACAGAAGTTGATATATTCTGTAATCTCTCCACAGAAGTCATGGAGCCAGCATAATTGCGCTTCAGCTTCTGATAAAACTGTGAAAAGCTTCATTTTTTGTTTTTCAAATCTAAGTCAAGCTACTGCACCAATGTTAACGCAACCTTGGAAGTCAGTGGGACAAGAACACAGATAAGGATGTACAGAAAAGAAGCTATTGTTTTAAACTACTGTTACAGGGTGGAATGAGCTGGTGTGCATGACTGCTGCATTTGATTTAAGAGAGTCCAAAAGGTTAAGCTTCCTCATAAACACTAGGCTCCACACTGGAACAGAGGCACATGTTATTATCCAAAGCAAAGTAATATGCAAAAGCACTTCAACATATGCTGCTATTGCCCTGAATAGAAAAGGGGAGGAAAGAAAGGAGATAAGTATGTGCATGAGCAAGAAGGGGGAACAGTTAAACCAGAGAGCAGAATACCTGTGAGTACACTCCTAAGAAAAAGCTGAAAGGGAGCTCTTTGATCTAAATGCAGTCTTGGTTAAAAGGTCTTTCAGCTGTTCTCAGCTATTTGATGCCCTCTGTGTTCAGGGAACAGGATCTTGCATTCTTTATAAATAAGAGGAATTCCAGAGATACCTGTGTCTCCATCATCAACCTCTCACAAGAATGCAACACCTTGAACTCTGATCAGTCACTTCTGACAAAAGTAAAGTAGAAGTACTTTATCATCTATTTGAAAATAAAACAGCGTTCTAATTTCTGAAAGTATTACAAATCCTAAGCCAACCTTTACATACACTTAAATCCAAGACTTATAAGAAGTAAAAGAGTTGAAAGTGAAACTCAAGTTGCAATGATAAAATTTGACTATTTCTACAAAGGGAAAAATAACTAATCACAGATAATGCAGGTTAGAAAATAAGCAGAAAAATACCTTACTAAGCCAGGCTGGAAGGTTCCTCTATGGATTACCTGGCTCACTTGCCAAAAAAAGAGAGTCACCTATGACTTGGGTTGATGTGCAAGTAGGTGAAATTCTAGTCAAAAATACCTCAATATAATTTCATTTCACTTCCCATGTAATTTATTTTCATAACTCCTAGAATCTGAGCCAACACATACACAAAGTGTGCAAGTGCAGGACTTTACACAGCAGTTGAGATTGAATTCCATAACAGGAAGGACAATTAGAGCTAGAAGCTGTTTTTCTTTACAGTAGCCTACGTTGTGGCTGACCTTTTAAAACAGGAGAGCTGTTCAAGGATTTACCTACATATTCACATTATTCTAAACAAAAAATAATAATAATATGAACTGCAACAATTACTCTAACATTCAACTCTTATTCCTGACCTACATAGTTTGTGCTTGGGAGTTATTCTCAAATTACTCACACGTGAACAAACTCTTCAGAAGCCTAAGTTTCCTCTTTCCTAACTCAGTGAACACTTCAGTCATCTTGCAGTTCAAGCTCTAGTGGAAAAAAAAAAGTTACGGAAGAACAAGTTAAGATGCTGTTAATCATGACTGAAATACAACAGCTGAGTTTCTCCTCCACCCTGCAGACTTGGTTGAGTGGGAAGAGAGATTTCCTGCACAGTTTAAGCAAGACAGCTTCCAATGCCAAATGAAAGTACCACAAGGCAACCACCCTCTCTTTGACTTTAAAAGAAGACAATGTCTGGGAGAGTTTTCTCCTATTTAAATGCTCAACTACTGTGAATCAATGTTACCAGAGGTTCCAACACACGAGCAGAAGAGGGTGAAATATTTAAAAATCCATTCAACTTTTAATACAAATAGAATAACAGAGTTCTAAGGATGTCTCAAGGATCACATATAACACATATTCATGTTCAGTGATTTCTTACCCAGCCTGGTATTCAATACTGAAGCGTGGCTTTTTCTTGGCCTTCACATTTCAGATTAAGTGCATTCCACTCAACGACACTTTTCCAGCATTGTTTCCTAGGCTGCTTGCAAATAAGTTTGTTACAATTAAAAAGTTGCACGCGTTAAATTTTTAACTCACCACTGTTTGTCAGGTATACTTTCACAGAGCCCCATGATTAACAGCTGTGCAACAAGCATTTGCTGAGTTAGCCCAGTAAAACTGATGTTTAATTCACAGACATCAGTACTCACCCTCTATTCAGACCAACCTTAAAATGAAGAAAAAAGGAGGAAGAATGAAAGAAAAGGGAAAAAAGGAGGAAAAAAAAAAAAGCAAAAAAAGCAAGCCAGCAGGTAGGTATTTACAAATGGAATCGTAACTTCTATACCTAAGGCAGGATGGATAAAAACTGCATCTACACTGCCTATGGGGATAATAAAATGCATTTTAATTCACTTGGTATGATGAATTGTAACTATTTTCCCATTTTTTCACAATAAGATGAATCAAAGCAACTGCTCAACTGTTTTGTTTTTTAAACACATGTAACATTTATTAATAACAATCTTAAAGTGATAAATTCAGAGTCATGAGAAAGGGGGTTGTTGTCAGTAAACATACAATGTAAATAGCAAGGTTTTTATATTATTAAAAATGATTTTAACATAGTGTTTAGCCCAACCAAACTTAACATTAGAAACATTCAAAATCACTAAAAGTCTTGCAATGAATTCTATTAAGCTTATAAAAACTTAATTTCAGTAGTCAGAACTAACTTGTTATTTGTATAAAATTTAAAATTCCATCATTTTTGTAAACAAAGCTCCTAAGCATTTAAAAGAAAAAAGTTAGTTTACATCCCATCAAACTGCAGCACATGTGTGAAACCTCAGGAATTTCCAGGCATGGAGCATAATTAGGCACAGAACACAACAGAGTTTCCACAGCCAGCTGCTGAATACACACTTCTGTTGACAACAATCATCTTAATTTATACTAGTCCATTATCAGTACCATTATCAGTTCCAGGCAAAAATTAAATAAATCCTCTACACAGAAGATTTTACAGAAAAAGAAGTCATTTCACATAGGTTCGCAAAGGTTCTGAGAGTTTTGAGTACTCTGACTTGCAGTGAGTTACAGTGTCATGTCTTTCAGGAATTTCCAAACACTTCTTCATAACCACTTAGCTTTGGCAGATACTGGGCTTGTCAAAGACCATGACAACAAATCGGCACAGAATTTTCTGTCTGTCAGAACACCAAGGAATATTGTAATTGATTAAGTGTCAGCTAGCACAGCTGCCTGAATTAAATAAAAATTAAAGATAGTGTGTAAGATCATTTAATTGTAAAGCTGCCAGCTCAGGCTTAGATCAAGAAAGGTATGACAGGCAACTAGGAACTTGAAAACTCTTCCTGTTTTCTTAGAGAAGTTGCAAAGCTACAAACAAGGTGGTTATCTTACCCGTATCAACTGGCACCATGGTCAATTTGTGTGAAGAGCAATAACTGACACTGAGACCGTAAGTTTGTTTACATCAGGACTCTCAAGAACAAAACAGTTTAAACTTGATGTAAGTTACATCAAGCAGTACATTTGCAGTAAGCCTTTTTTAACTGACAATATAGTTTTACAGTTGTCTTAATTAGCATACTTCCAAAGTAAATCTAGCTAAACTAGATTTAACCAGTGTAAGTTCTCCTGAGCCAACACGCCCCTAACTATCAGTGTCTAGAGGTGACCTTCAGACCAACACTGAGGCACTTATGTGAGGCACTGCAGAAAGGGCTGCACTGCCATTGCCCAGCATGTGCTTATTTGGTTGTTTTCTGTATGGTTCTTGGACTTGTATTGACTACAGGAATTACATTCAATTAAAAATAGGAAAAATGTTTTCATGACTACCTGATGGTAGCAGTAAGTGAACTCGGTGGTTCCTTGTAGATGACTTCTCCAATTTTCTTTGGTGTAAATTATTAGCATTGCAGTTCTACCAATTTTCTATGCCTAATCCCCCTCAATTTGCAGTTCCCCCCACAGAAGAACTAAAAAAAAAAAAAAAAAAAAAAAAAAAGCATCAAACAAGCACTCAAACTCAACCTCTTCTAAAAGCAAATTAATGATTCAAACCAATTTTCCTTTTCCAAGTCTTTAAGAGTACTTAACTTTAGAGTATTAAAACACTAAAACAAATTAGGATTAATCAAGTTAAACAAAGGCACTGAGTGGCCTTAACTAACACAAGCAGTGCTAATGCTATTCAAACCAGTTGTTTGTCTATCAACCACAACGGATTTTCAAAAACAGTTGTTTCTTTAATGTAGAAAGGAGAAAAAAAAAAAAAAGCTGCAGTACAGATACAAAAGCTAGAAACATCTGCCCTCTCATCCCCCACCTCTTTGAACTGATGCAAAGCCAAATGAAGACCACATATATAGATCAAGTCCTGACAGGTAAGAGAAGAACCAGTCCAGACATAAAATTCTAGTTTTTTTCCCCTCTCAAAGATTTACATCACACTTGTTGAACAAAAACTTCTGGCCTTTAACACTGTCTTGTTTGCCAGCTATTCCAGGAGCTGCATCTAAGTTTCCAGTGCCACCCTGTAAGTACCTCCTACACACACTTTTAGTGTTTTTGATGGTTGACAATGCATATAATCCAAAGATGTGCATCAAAGCTTAACAATTTTCATGATCAAGGCATAAGCCTGTGAAACTACAGAGAAAAAAACAAACAAAAAACCCCACCAAGAAAAATAAAACAAAAAAAGAAAGCTCACTACTACAAATTAAAATTTGCCCTGTTATCTATTTTATGGCTTACGATCTACATAGATTGACATACACACTGTTTCTTCAATTACTTGCAGATCTATAGTTTCATTCTGTAGTTACATTACTATCTGTCTTCACATTCAAAATCTGGAAAGAAATCCTGTGAAGAATTTTGCTATTACTGTTTATTTTTTAAATTAAATTTGATCAGCCTTATTCAAAATTAACAAAACATCTCATGCAAAGTGATACGGGCAAGAAAATTTTATAAAAATACACTGTATAGAAGAACATTGGAAAATTGCATAGAAAATATCCATTTATACAAACCAAAATAAGGCACAGTTTTATTAGATATGTTTTGGCTGTAAAAATGCAAATCTATTTTGATTACTCTTATGTTATTAACAATATTTTTCATAAAAATATAGGTGCATGAGTAAAAACCCTTCTACACAGAGCATGAAATACTCTAGAAAATTTCACCAAATTTACTGCAATTCACCTGTAAAAAATTTCAATACTATTTTAAGCCAGAATCCTACATGTTATTGTCCTCCAGGCTGCTCACTGGCTGGTGCTGTGCCTTCTTCATTTCCTGGGTAATCCAGATGTTCCATCATCTAGGTGCAAAAAGTAATAAAAAAAGAGGACAGTTCTTTATATAGAAATACTGCTTTTCCCCCCACTGGTACAAGTATTTGTTAGCTAAGAGAAATATAATTAAACATATGTTAGGAGTGCGTTTTAGCAGCATACAGATAGGAAGTCCTCTATGTAGATCAGAAAAGTATTCAAGCCAAGTAATCAAAGTTCTCTTTGTTAATGCTTTCCACTATAAAAGCATTTACTGTCCAAAGATTCAAGTATTCTTCAAGAAATTAAGCATACACATCAAAAGTGTCTCAATTATTGAAATGAAAAACAAAAAAAGAGATTCAGGTTAAGAAAAAATTTCAAAGACACACTTTGGAGAACTGGAAATAGAGCTTAGATCCTGCTTAACATTTAAAGTTAGTAAGCAATAACTTGAATAGAAAAGACTTCCTTTTTTTCATAACAGTACAAGCTAGCTATGGACTGTACACTCCAAATGCATTCTTTGTAAATTTTCCTATTATCTTAAAAAGAACAAAGGAAATGGAACTGTAAAGACGTGCCACAGAAGTCAACACGGACTAGATTACTACACAACCAATTTTAACTTCAGATTAATGCAATTGATTAAAAGTCACCTGAGTAACACAGGACAATTTTGTTCTTCTCTGACTAAAAAGCAGCTTGTTTCCCTATCCACTGCTCTACTGTTAGAGAAGAACGAGGGCTCTGGTTTCATTCCTGGGACAAGGCACTGATCACAAAGGTAACAGGCACATTTGTTAGCATGACAAACCAAGATCCACCAGTTGGAGAACTTCATCATTAACAGGTGGCCAAAGATTGGGAAGTTTTGGATAGTTTTAACAGCTGACACACAGTGACAGAAAATATGAAAGCAGTAGTTCTGCTGAAAACAGAACATGTCAGGAGCTCCTGAGTAGCATGGCAGGGTTATCAGGGCAAAAGCATAATACTTTCAGCATCAAAAGGTAGAAAAACGTACATAGCTTCTTCCAGAGTAACCCATCCTGCTTAGTAGTAAAAGGGACACAAAGACATGGATGAATGAGCTGCTGGCTACGTGGCTTCCAAGCAGGGTAGATTTCCATGTGATGAGGACAAGATTACTTTCCTGACAGGCACCCACTGAACTACCCTTAAACTTCAACATTGTTGTATCAAAAGCATTTAAGCACAGTATGACTCTCCAGATAGGGCAAAAAAGAGTCTTCTCTTAATCTCTCCTCTTCTCTAGCTATGACCCACATCTGTGCCACGTCCTTTTATAGCAACATAGCAGGGTCAATGCAAGGTATGCAAACATATCTTATTAAAATTAGGTTATTTTAACTAAACTGTTTTAAGTCCAGATGCACCATTGTGTCATACAGCAATCTGAGACAGCATGTCCAAGGCAGAAACAAGGTTCTGGAATTGGGAGAGTCTAGTGGGCACAATATCAGGGTAACTGATATTGACCAAGAGAGGCCTTTCCACACCTCTTATCTTCACGCATCAGAATTTAGGAGAATTAAGGCTTGCTGATACACCTAAAAATAGCAACAGCACACACGCAGTCTAGCAGCAAATACCAAACTCTAGTGCCAATGACAGCCTTACATTCACTTCAGTATATCTAGAATATTGGCCCTGTACTGTGACCAAAAACCCACATCAAAAGTCAACCAAAGCAAAACACTCCCTACAATTACAGAAACCAAACAGTCATTTTAAATGAGGATTCAATTATCTGTTTCCAGGAAAAACAAAACACAACAAACAAGAAATTAAAAAAGAAAGCCAATCAGTACCACATTACACCCAGTATGGTGAATATGGCTTCCCCTTTACCCTAGGGAGTATCATCCAACAGCTGGCATAGAGAGGACAGTGTTGGAAAGTATTTTTGTAAAATGTTTCCCACATTAAAGTGACAAACTGCTTCCAGAAGGAAGAGTTAACATTATTCACAACAACTGACTGCATCCCAACATGAAAGATTCTTTTCTGCATCAGATAAGCAGCACAAAATGTGGTTATGACATCACATGTATTTAATATTTAAAGTCTCTGCTTAATGAATATTCGAGATCCCTTTAGAACCAGAACGGCTCATAGAACTGGAGCACCTCTCCTATGAGGAAAGGTTGAGGGAACTGGGCTTGTTTCACCTGGAGAAGAGAAGGCTCCGGGGAGATCTCATTGTGGCCTTCCAGTACTTGAAGGGAGCGTATAAGCAGGAGGGGGAACGGCTGTTTACAAGGGTGGATGGTGATAGGACAAGGGGGAATGTTTTTAAATTGAGACGCGGGATGTTTAGGTTATATTAGGAGGAAGTTTTTCACCCAGAGGGTGGTGACACACTGGAACAGGTTGCCCAAGGAGGCTGTGGATGCCCCATCCCTGGAGGCATTCAAGGCCAGGCTGGATGTGGCTCTGGGCAGCCTGGTCTGGGGGTTGGTGATCCTGCACATAGCAGGGGGTTGAAACTATATGATCACTGTGGTCCTTTTCAACCCCACAGCATTCTATGATGATTCTAAACTTAAAGGTATTTTGGGCTTTCTGATATACATAAATTTCACAAGATCAAAAAAAACTGCTATTTCGAATCTCTCCACAATATATGACAAGGGTAGCCCACAGCTTGGAAGTCAGGCACAACAGATGCCTTTCTAAACATGTAGACTTCTCTTAAGTAGATTCTTCCATAAGTTCATCTCAGTTGTAGTTTCTTTCAGAATAACTGCATCCTCAAAGCCAATGCTGAAGCAACATGAATCTTTATAACAGCCAGCAGCAAGATGAAGGCACAGTACTAAAATCTGGACAAATTGTTGCTTCAAGCCTAGAAGAGCCACAGGAATCAGACTGTACATTGTGGGGAGCTGACAAACATTTTTCAAGTGGAACAAATTCATCAGCCTTTTTCCTACATCTGAATTCCTGACATTCCTGGGGGGCTCATGGGGTGTCATGACAGATACAAGAGTACATAATACCTATGCACACTAGAAAATAAGATTCACTCCAATAACGTTGCACTCACATAATTCTTAAACCACACCTGTGATTAATTCACAAGCATCTTGAAAACATAATTTAAACTGACAATACAGCAGATGCTTGCTGTGTAACATGCCAATCTGTTGATTTATTGTTTCAGAGAAAGGTAAGAAACATTTCTAAGCACTTCCCTTTGACTGGCTGTAAAATTTGGCATGACTACTCGCACAACTTGAAGACTTAGAAAATTCTACAACTGCTGGATTTTCCATGGCATTACTGAAATGATTTCATAGACTGCACCAATCAAAACTGAACAGTATTTTCAAGTTGACAACTAGAAACAAGTATCAAACATCATCACACAGACATATGTGAGGAGTACAAGCAAACTAACAGACTCAGAAAAATCTTTACTACGAACTTCACAGCAGCAATGCAGTCTGGCCACCTGATTTTAATGTGTGCCCAATCCCTCCCACTTCTTAGCTTCCTCTTGGATTTGTATCTAGTTTCTTTATTACAAAGGCTTTTAAATCAAACTTAACTTGTTAAAGTACACCTTATTAGAAGAGAGAAGCTAACAAGAAAAGTACTTTCCAGTTCAGAATTTAAGATACACTCAGCCATAGCTCACTATCTAAAATTTTCTTCAGCACAGAACAGACAAGTTATGCTCTTTAAACATACATACACAGCTAGTCTGCTGTCTGTAATTCAAGCTTATATTCAGGTGCTTAAATTCTGCAAAAACATGAAATTTGGAAACTTGCCTTGCTCTCTACACGCTGTGCTTGCAAAAATGGGCAGTGAAAATAAAAACCATGTCTGTGTCAGCAGTCATGAGCTTCAGCCTACCAAGGTGAAACTTTCTTGCTATGGTCTAGGAGCCATGCAGCAGCAATACCTCAAAAGCTGGTCTGAATCCTTACTCCCTGTCCTGCTGCAAGCACTGCAGATAGTAGAGGACGAAGTAAATTGCTTAGCAGGAAGATTACAGAGAGACTGAAGAAGCAGTTACTAAAGACAAATTAAAATGCTTAGCATTGTAACAGACAGAAGACAATAAAATTGTTTAGCTCTAGGAAGGTTTCTGACCAATGCAGCAGCATAAAACAATTAGCAGGGGAACTTGCACATATTTAATAACAGCACAAATACCACCACTTTTAAACACCTGAAGTTACTCCTAGGGATTTGAGTAGTTAAAGAATTAAAAAAAGAATACAAAGCCTTCCTACGGTCTTGGGAATCATGGCTCTATTCACACTTCATAAAGTTTTTTGTGCTCCTTTAAAGGAAAAAACAACAATTGAGAATAAAAGCAGATTTACAACTTGACTTCATTGCTAACTCCTTTCTAATGAATTACTCTGAAAAAACTGAAAAGGAAAATAGATGAGAAGAAGAATGAAAAGATGAAGCAGAGGGGGACAAAAAGCAAAAAAATCCCATAAGATGATTAATCAAATTGCATTAAAAGAAGGCTATAAGCACACCTTGTAGCAAAGGCGTCCTGGGAGAGTCCGATACCTAAATAAAATTCATTCAATTATTAAAATCATATACAACAATGACAACTTATTTTTAAATTAGAAAAAAAAAAAAAGCTAACTAGTGGATTACAAGAAATAGCAGCATTCATGAAGCTCAGTCATCTGATACCCTGTACATCCTGCTGTACCCCTATCTTAGCATGCTTTGCCCTGACAAGTCTGCAAGGTTTCACCGTTCCCGTAAGGACAAAGCAAAGCTCCCCAGATGTCTCATCACCCCTTATCCATGGAGCACTCCTAGTCAAGTCCAAATTACCATGGTTTCAGCAGGCTCAAGGTAGCTAAAGGTAATCCTGTCTCCTTTCCATATCTTCCCTCCTCAGAACAAGCACTGAAAGCTGAAGATTTGGACATTGCGATTGCATGGATTTTTTGTTTGTTTGTTTGCATCAGTAAGGGCAGTTCAAATTACAGCCTTATGTTGGGAGGACAACATATGAAAAAGACCATGACAACATTCTGTGAGCATAGCTTGAATAACATCCTCAGGAAAAGAAAACATAGAAAAGATCTTTGGAAAATTATAGAAAAGGAAGAGTTTTTCTAAAAGTTACACAAAAGCGTTCAGTCAGAGACAAGTCTAACTGGGGGTGGAGTAGTGGGGGTGGAAATCAACAGTTTAAACTGTGCCAGAAATGAGATCATCTGACCTCAAAACATGCTAAAGTTCAGAGCAGTTTTAATCCTTCAAGGAACCAGTTTTAAGGACGTGAAGTAACTACTATGGCAACATAATTCTCCCAAGTATGAGTTTTGCTATTAGAAGTGCACGAAATTTTTGTTGCTAAAGAGATTTGCCAGGTTTGCTTAGGTCAATAGGCTGATCTTACACAGAATTCAAGTGAGGAAAATAAACAGTGAAGCTCTTTTCCCAACAGAGTCAGTTACGATTGGATGAATTTTGATATCTAACACATTCCAGAATAGCAAATAGTCACCAATTTATATTCAAATGGATGGTAAACCGAACTCATTAGGACCTACAGAGATACATTTCCATTTGCTAGACCTACAAAAGAGAAGACTTTTTGTAGACAAAGATACAATGGTATCCTGTTCAACTGATAATCTTTTCCTGAGCAATTGTAAAGTCAGTCAGCCTTCAGCAGGCACAGGTGCAAAACACTGATTACATCAATAGGAGGCAATGCTTAACTGACAATACCTTAGAAGCTGCATGACTACCTGTTTTACTTTTAGAGGAATTGCCACCACCTGGCTTCCATTGCTCCACTGCAACTTTGCAATCCAGAAACTGAGTAACCAGAAGCTGCTCCTTTGCATCATCAGCTTTCACAATCAACTCTCTATCCATTCTCTGAGCTGAGTTCAACACAGCCCACATACAGGAGATAGCTTCTGAACTCAAACAACATTTCATTTCAGGTCTCCAGCATTAAATTTAGAGCAATGCTGAGATCAGTCTGTCTTAGAATAAATGCCAGCTGGCAGGGGCTCCTGACACATAGTTACCACAGCTGTGGCACAATCAGGGCAAGTTGTGTGTGTCCACAGTCAAAGGCAGATGGCTGCTGGTACTGAAGTACTGCAGTGCCTGGGTAGTGGCAGAGATTATCTCAGGGGAAATGCTGAATCCCACAGGTGTGTACATATGCACTGGGATAGGAACAGATAACCATCCAGATACTTTGCTGTTGAACACTCCATATCATCCTGACAATGTAAAACACCAGTGACACACAGGAACTAGTGTCTAAGATTCTTGTACATCACCAACCCTTTTGAACCACCTCTTAACACAGGACTACTATTGCAGACTGGAATCTGCATGCTCAACTCAGTGACTCATATTATACCACATCAAGATGATAGATAAGCACTGTTTAAAAAAAAAGAAAAAAAAGGAAGAAATGACCTTCTATGAGTACTGAACCAGCTATTTCATTTTCCTTAAGTTTCATTCCGCATACCATGTACAAGGCTAAGATTTTCAAAGAGTCAAAGCTTCTTCCTTTTCTTTATAGAAGATTAACCATTAAGACTAGAAAAAATAAATGGATTGCTGGTATTACCAAGTACTTAGAGAAGCATACATACAAAGGAATTAACAGAACCAAAATATATCAAGGCATCCACCCTACCTGGTAACTGCTTCCTTTCCAAAACTTCTTCATCTCTTTGCGCCTCCAAGCAACAAGAGAGCTAGTAATGAGTGTACATGGTACAAGATAGAGAAGGGCAGGTTGTCCCATCTTCATTAATGCCAGAACAACAAAAGTCAGCACCATACCAACAGCATAAGCTATAAAACACAATCAAGAGCAAGTATATTTTTAAACAAAGCCAGCAATGTAGTAAACCAGGAATTTTTTTTTTCTTTAATTAGCACCTTGCTAATATAATGGAAGAGGGACAATGGATTGTTATGTATTTGCATGCTTTCTCAAAGCAGCTATCATAAAAATACTCAACTAAAGCATGGGCAGCCACACTAAAAAGATTTATGAAAAGATCTGACAACATTAAACCTTTACTTGAAGAAAACTATGTAGTTCTGCCATTTAAAAAAATAGCATGAAGATTACTACTGTTGGAAAAAAAATCTCAATTTACCTATTGTACAGGAAACATAGTATACAGAAGAAGAACTTGTTTGAACATCAAATCTTCGGCAGTAGGCAACCAGAAGGCCTTGAACAGAGAGGAAAAACAGTTTAATAGTTTAACGAGAAGTTTAGCCCTGAATTCCTTTCTCCTCAATTCTCCAAATCAAAGCAGCATAAGAAGAAATTACAGTAAGAGTTCCCTTCACTGTGTGTTATCTTCTTCCCAATTCTTTTCAGGGAAGCCAAGAACCAGTTTCAGAAATCCTAAAGTAAGTATTGAAAAATCTAAATCATAGCACAAATATGTCACTGAGATGGGTATTAAGAGCTTTTCTTACGTTTAAGCAAGCTAAGTACTTTGTGTTATTTCAGTGCTACTTCAAAGGCACCAAGATGGAAAAGTAACAACCTAGTTTTAACACTTTTCTTCAATAGAATTTTAATGCTCTTAGCAATCAGCTATTTTGCCTCAGTGCAGATCACAGGAAAAGGGAGAGTCATCACGAGATGGTGCTTTGTGCCTAAGTAATTTGCCCAGAACTCCAAGCTGAGCTATGGCCAAATTCAGATCTTCTGAGAAAGACAGAAAAACTTGATGATACATTTTCCATTACCTCAACTCTAATTATGCAGTCTATGACACAAAAATGCTATTAAGTCACAGAATCCTTGCTTTCTGCCAGATTTCAGTGAGATTTCATTAGTATTGACAACTGGATTTATCTATGGAACTCGCATGGTCAAAAAATGCAATGCTAAAGAAAAGTAATAAATAAAAAAAAACCTGTTCGTTATTTAAGTATACCTTAAGTATACACACCAAGCTCTCTTCTACTTTGGCTTTCATTGTATTCCATACTAAAAGCAACACAAACTGTTGCATGTGATTTAATAATTACTTTGTAGAATAAATCCTAATTTAAGTCAGTTGAGAATCAAAACCAAAGTTAAAATCACCAAAAATATCTGCTCACCTGGGACAATAATGTCTCCAAAACCCAGCAATGAAAAAGGCATGTCACACAGTGTCGCTGCTGAGTATTCAAGTCTAGGCACTCTAATAACCACAGGTAACTGTAAAACAGTATTTTAGAAGCCCAAATAAATCTAATTTAAAGTATCTTGGTGTTCTGTGTTTTTTTTTTAATGAATGAGCAGTTTTAGTATCATTAATGTATCGCTAATGCAGGACTTCAAAATAGGTAGAACCTAAAGCAAAAACCAGAAATCAACAGGGAGTGGATAACGCCTAAGGCAATAGATAAACTGGAATTTAAGATTTGCAAATAATATGCACACACTAAAAACAACTTAAGACAGCATTCAATCATATAATGAGAATAGCAAGTCTGGATTATTATCCTAACAATACAATGTTGATCAATGACTTCCAGGCCCTGAAGAGAAATTTGGATAGTCAGGTTTTCCCCAAAAGAATAGTCTTTTCAGAGGGAATGATTTAAAAATCCAGTATCTGAAATACAATCCTTACTTTCTCATGGGGAGCTGAGCGTTCAGTAGGGACTTCCACCAAGTTTCCATCATTCTAGGATCAAACCCAAGTCAACAGGTATTTAATACTTACAAGAAAATAGCAAAAGCTGTCTATATTTTGTGAGAAAATTATGCCGAAAAGCACACTATGAATTAGCTACAAAATGTCAGTATTTGTACACTGTGAATATTAAAACAAAACTTCATACCTTTTCACTGTTTCCAAAGGGACCAGCTGCAACTTCAACCATTATACTTGCCCCATTCTGAAATTGAGGTTATTTTTCCAATGTTAGCACTTTAATATACCAAAGCATTCTTATACTACATCTACAAGAAATGCTTGCACTTTATCTTACAATTTTTTTCCTGAAAATTTCAGGAAAAATCCTGAACATCAAAAGGAAAGCAGTATTACCATGGTACTGTTTTCAGTGTAAGAATATGCTGTTCAGCATAAAATGACTTTAAAAAAAAAAAAAAAGAAAAGAAAAACATCAAACCCATAAATCCACTACACATAGCTAAAGTTCAGATAAAGACGTGCCAGGTTTTTCTGCCATGACCTTTCTGCTTCTAAAGAAGAGAAAGTACGCCTGCATACAATTCGTAGCATACTGCAAATGAGCACTGTAGAAAGCACAAGAGCATGTTTCATAAAAGGAAAGCAAAAGAAGGAAGAAAAGGAAGAAAACTGGAGAACAGTCATTTCTCATTATCACCCTGTCACACAATTGGGGCCAGAGTATTTCTGGCTCTAGGACTGCAGAAGATTTAACTCATTTAAGAAATTTATGGCACCTGAACAAGCACTGTGATCTATGGCCCATATAAAATAGGAATTTAAACCACTGCTGTCTTAAATGGGAAGAAAGAAAAGGAAGTCTGCATTTCTGCCTCGAGAATACCAAAATACTGATCTGTCTGACAAAAATACTGCCACAGTGACCAGATGTTATTTTTATTTTGAAGAGAAATTCACAGACATACCTTTGTGATAAATGGTGTTATGAAGACAAAAAACACATCATAGAGAAGAAGAAGGCCTAGAAGTATCACACAGGACTGGCAGAAAGAAAAAAACAAAAGAACTGTTACTATTGGCTTTCAAAGACCACAATTAGTTTCTGTTAAAATTACTGTAACAAAATGTTAAAAAAATAAATAAAGAACGGAGGAGAAAAAAAAAGGAAAAACACATCATACCAATTTTTTATTTTTCATTCTTAAAAACAGTAAACAATTATTGTTTTCCAGTCCTTCCTGAGTACTGAAAAGCTATCTCCTGATGTTAAACTTATGGATATATGGCATTATAACACCTTTTTATTATTAGAAAAAAAAACAAAAAAACAAAAAACCTGTAACTTACAGTACCTTAAAGTTGGGCATTTTCAGTGTTTTAATGAAGTTTAGGCAGAAAGCAATTCCCAAAATGTCTTGCAACATCCAAGCCCACCTAAACATAAGAACACATGTTTACACCTTGTCCATGTTACTCATGGAATCTATATATAACACTGATATTTTGGATTTTGCTGGACATAGCAAGATCGCAAAAGGGAACAAAAAGCAAGAAGCTATTTTTTATGAAGCACTGCTAAAGGAACTGCAAAAATATAGTAGCTTTTATGCTATTCCCTAATCCCAGTGTCGTACACAGAAAATGAGTTCAGCAGAGGACAGTGCAGGCTCCTGCTGTTCACTTGTACGGCTGCTCATTTGCTCAGTGAGCAAGTGGAGCAGAAGCCCTGCCTGCAGTATGGTTTTAGATGCTACTGAGGATTTTACTACAGTATTTCTTTATTTATGGCCTCATGCTTACATTCCCATTTCTACATCTTTCTACTCCACGGTGATCAGTAACAACCAAGCTAGTTGGTCCTCACCTTCATAATTTTTTTGCAACTCCAAATTACCACACGGTTCATTTGTATAGCTTTGTTCTCTATTATTCCCATACTTGGTAAGTTTCATAAATACTTTTATAATTTCTTTGAAATCAGCACTGAAGTTCAGAAGGACATCATGTGCCAGAATGAGTTGCACAACAGGAAGTTTGTTGAGGACAATTATTCATATTACCCTTTCAAGTCAGAATGCGTGACTTACCTATCTTCATTTCGGAACACAGCCCAGACAGCGGCTGCTGCTATGCAGAATGCAGCAAGAAAAATAAGCCTCACTTCAATATTTCTGTTGCCACACACAATTCTGAAAGAAAAGTAATTGAGTGAAAGGAAAGCCCACAACAGACAAAACACATGCCTGTGCTGTGCAGTACAAAGTGTTCTCATCCTCACACCCCCTCATCCGTCCCTTTGTTTCACCAACACTCAGGAGTTTTTGAAACTGCAGACTTTATCAAACATTTTCACACTACCCTGACTAGCAACCAGAAGATACCCAAAAAACACCTTATAAAAATTGAGAGGCATACAGTACCTGCACTGCCCAAATGGGATTTCTCCTATTAATGCAGCAAGACAATTGTACAGGCTCATTGCAGATGCCAAGCAGAAGACCAATATTATAACATACACTAGATAAAAAGAGTGAGAGATAAGAGTCAGTGACAAAATACAGTGGGGAAAAAGCATGGCAAACAGAAACCCATACATGTGATGTAAACTGTTAACAGCTGTAGCACTACTCAGTGCACCATTGTTGGAGATCACAGTCAACAGATTATAAAAAAAAAAAAAAGGGCCAAAATCTGAAATGTTTCTGCCATGATTAGTTCTCTTCAAGACACCAGTTTTGAAATCTCCAAATGGCAGTTAAAAAAAAACCAAAACAAAACAAACAACTGAAAATCAACAAAGGAACATCCGCAACCAAAGACCAAAACCCAACCTTTTTCTTCTCTTTTCTTCAAGAAAAAACATGACATCTGATACTGCTTTGAGGTGCATTTCTTTGGTTATAGCTAAAATTAATGTATTTTTTAGAACTATCAGCTTTCTCAATTTCTGTTAATACTCCTCCCATCAAATTTTCCTGCAGACATTTTGTCTGTTCGTGCAGAAAAATTTCAGCAACTCCAAGATCAGACGGATGATTTAAGTGGCACGTTAAGGTTCTAAACATCCTGCCCCTTCCAAAATTTCTATTAAGCTATAAACTACCTGGTTGGGAAGTGTCTTTATATTCTGAGTTCCAACTTGCGATACACTGGAAATCCTAACTTACAGTAAGCTCCTTGAGATACAGACAGACAATAGAAACAGTAGTTTGCTTGGGGTTTTTTCTTGATTACAACATAGGTCTGGTTAGAAAGTAATTGTAATATCTAGAAGAAGACAGATGTGCAGGTTTGGGCTGGACTATAGTAATTTTCTTCAAAGCAGCCTGTATAGTGCTACATTTTGGAACTGCGACCCAAGCAGCCCGGATAACACGCTTCTGTCCATCTGCAAGTAGGCTGAAGGACTACAAGAAGTCCCAAGACATTTGAGGCATCTGTGTTTACATGTAACCATTATACATGATGCAGGCCTGGAAGTAGCTAAACATCTGCCTTTCTGATGGGAAGGAGTGACCGAATTCCTCCTTCTGCTCTACTTATGCTCACAGCCTTTCCTTTACTTGTAAAATCCCATCTCAACCTACGAGTTTTCTCACTTTTGCTCCCCCACATCCCTTCAGGGGAGCAAACAAGCAGTTTTGTGCTGGAAACACTCCCTGTAGCACTTCAAGTTACACAATTATGCCACAATTTGAGAAGTAAATTTAAATAGGCAATTGCTTTTAGCACCTCTAGAAAGGCAACAAAAAAATGCACACATCAGCACTGTTCTGCTTTAAAGACCATGATTATAGTATGTGTCTATCACAAGTTTATGCATACTTTGTGCAATTCTGTACTGTATATTCAAGATAGTAATGTTGTAACACTAAGTTAAAGCACTATGTCAGTATGAGCCCTTTAAAGATTATCCCTTTTTTAATTTGTGAAGTTGCAAGTATGCTTAACCTTTTATAAGTGAACCAAAGAAAGCAATAGAACCAATAAAAGCCAGAAAACTTGAGGGAGTGTCTGGATTTTTTTTTCCCTAAAGTATTTACTTTTCCTCCACACCCTTTAGTTTAGTATGAGTAGTACCCTCAGATTTTTAATTTTGTATTAACGTGGACCTGCTCAGAATTAATTACAGCTACCACAAAGGCATCACACCAGCAACAACAGAGAAAACTCCATAACCCAAAACTTAAGACATTATTTATGTTTAGGTATGAAATACACAAGGAACTTAGAAATCTAGAAATATCTGGAATTCAGTCTACACAGAGAAGCTGGTTAAGGGAAATTGTATAGCTTTACTGGTTACTTGATCCTAATGTCAAGTACTGATGTTAGGATTTACATTCACATGCTATGGTAATCACATCAGCGTGGTGGGGCTTTATTTGGTTGTTTGTTTTTAATTAAATACAGAATTTTCCCTAGAACAGCATATCATACCATGGTAACAGTTTGTGTCTGATCCAAAGAGCACAGAACTAAGGCTTCTTCGAAAAAGATGTTACATATTTTCTTTGAACTCACATTTTCTTCTCTCCCTAATTTATTACTCCCTTCTGTTTCTCCTCCTTTAAAGGGCCTCACTCTCCACTTCATTCTCCTGTCCCTTTCTCCTTTAAGAGGTCTCTTCCTTCACTTCTTCCTACAACTCCTGAAACTGAGTAAACAGGTGAAATTTTTAAGCTAAAACTATTGATCAAATTAAAAGATTCATCAGTCTTCTATTTAGACAAGTTTAGCCAGCATAGCACTGCCCATATAGTCAAGACAACCAAAACTAAACAAAGCCAGACATGAGCTTTGTGAAGGTTCTTCTGTAGAAATAGAAAGGTGAACTATAAAAAAATTCTAAGAAATATTGAATTTGGAAGGAATTTGATTTCAGAATGAAAGCTACAGTATTTGGACTAGAAAGCACCATTTTAAAAAGTGCATGTTTTCTGGTTGCAGAAGGAAAAAAATCAACAGGTCGGAAACAAGACTTTAATCAAATTGCATCATTCAAGAAACTACCTTATTGCTACTGTGCCTCAGTGCTTTCTATCAGGAGAGTGCCATTTAGCTTGATACTTTAATGAGGGCACTGCAACCACAAACCCAAGGTCAGCTGTGTGTGATACACAAAAAAAAAAAAAAAAATTGACTTCAAAGAATATCACTCATTGTCATCCTCCCAGAAGCATCAGTATTTATCAAGGAGGATTTCTTTCTTTCTTAAAATTCCTCACCGGTCACCTCTCTTCCACAGTACTTCACTCAGAATGAGCACTGTACAGGCAGACTCTAAGCCAGTAGAAGATAGCTTTCTTCTTTTTTCATTAGTAACTGCATTTTTTCAGTTTTCTCCTCAATGACAGAGTGTAGAATAAAAAAAATAACAACCATATCAGAGAACCATAGAATGGCCTGGGTTGAAAAGGACCACAAAGATCATCCTGTTTCAACCCCCTGCTATGTGCAGGGTTGCCAACCATCAGACCAGGCTGCCCAGAGCCACATCCAGCCTGGCCTTGAATGCCTCCAGGGATGGGGCATCCACAACCTCCTTGGGCAACCTGTTCCAGTGCATCGCCACCCTGTGTGTGAAAAACTTCCTCCTAGTATCTAACCTAAACCTCCCCTGTCTTAGTCTTATTTTCAGTTAGAAATCTAGCTTTTCAGACTTAGACACCTAATAAGATCACGCAGAAAAATACATCAAATGAAATTATCCACTGTTTCTCACCTAGCCATTTGTAGAAGAAATAAAGTAAAATCAGCATGACACAACAGATGACAACAAACAAGACAACTGTCAGAGTGGTGAAAGTAACATTTTCCTCCTTCTTCCTTCTTGTTTCTCTGTCCCCAGGACTTGCCGTTGCTTTCAAATTCTCACTATATTAGGAAAATGACAAACACATTTATTTCAGATGACAGATTATGAAAAAGTTTTACTGTGATCAGAATTGTTTGTTATAAAGCATTTAAACTGATAGCATTTAGACCTAAACCACATTTCTATCAGGCTTCAAAGACTTCAGAAAAGCTGCAAGTGTGTTGATTGAGTTTCTCTCCACTTTTTTGATGAAGATGTGCACTTGTAACTTAGCACATTTCACAAGAAAAAGGTTTTTACCCACCTTCCTTTCCAACAGTAAGGGAATTGTCAACTTTAATGAGAATTCCCAATCAAAATCCTGATCAGTGTGAGGAAAAGCTGTCTAATATCAAAACTTTTAACCTTTTCAGGACGTGTGCTCTCAGCTTTATTAGCACATCACCTCTGACTACAAAATATCTTGAATACAGACAATCTCTATGATAAATTAAAACCATGCAAATTGCAGGTTTTGAAACCTCAATTACAGACAGTAAGCTTCTGCAAAACCCCCAAACATAAGAGTAACAAAGCCAGCTAGAAACTAATTCTTTTACCTTTAAAACACAGAGTAAGTGAAGGGGGGGACATAAAATAGACATTTTCACCAGAAGTCAGGTTTCTATGCACGCATACTCCATATTTATAGCTCACATGCAAAATAAGGAGACAAACTGTTGTGTTTTTCTCTGTTCTTTGAGCAGATAGCACTACTACTCTTTGTACAGACACTAGTGAAACCTGCCCATCAGATAGCATGTTCCTGACGGATCCCAGTGCCTACCTACAACAAAATGCTGAATTCAGCACTGAAACAACTACCTTCAAAAGAAAAAAGCCCATAGGAGCAAGATGAATCACCTTCTTAGAAAACATGTTTTAAATAAGCAGCTAAAAAAAAAAAAGCTCAGCCTAGACTTATGAAAGTGCATGTCTAACAAGTTTAATATAATTACATCTAGGTTTTTTTCCTCCAAAATGGGAGACAGCATCACATTTTGTTATTTTAGTATTCAGCGCAGCCACACCCTAAAACACTGTGGGGCAAAAAAGAAGTATAATCACATCCAACCTTTAAGAAAGAATCCCCCCTTCTATTTCTTTAATCTCCTTAGAAAACAAAAAATCACTACTATTTGCATAACAACCAGTGGGAAAGAGGAAGCCATAGTTATCACATGCAATCCACTCTGAGTTCTGGGGAACAAAGTACTGGAACAGAGAGCGTGAAGCTGTATGCAGTAAAGCATGCTGGCCCCTGCTACGTGCACAGATATCCAAGACCAGCTACATCCAATTTAACCCAAGACTAAAACAAGTTCTGTGCACCTAGTGTGCTTTATTTCACTCACTAAAGCTCACAGTCTTCCAACACCATGCAGAAACCCCTCCTATCCACTTGTTTCCTTGCTCTGGCCACACACCATACTTTTACACACATCTCATTTCCAGTGCCTAGGCCCAGAGCTGCTCTGCCCCCTGGCTCTGCTGCCATCCACCAGATAACGCACAGAGCTGAGGCAGATAAGCCTGGGTGGACTTTGGCTGGAGCCACCCAGACACAAGTGAATTGTATTCCTGAGTGCTCCCAGTGACAGAATTGTAGTGCAGACATCCCAGAAGATGCCACCCAGCCAGTGGGGACAAGGCAGTTGTACAGGTCCCTGTGCAGACCATATATGCATACATACCTCCTGCATCACTGGATGTTGAAGGTGTCACTGAAATTCATGATACTTTTTGCCGCAGATATTAGAGTGTTATGATGTTAGTTATGGGGTATATGGTATCAAAACATTATCAAAACATTAACTCTCACTCATCCTGCCAAGAGCTGCATTATTCCTGAGGGACTTGTACAATCTACTGCTTAGGGTTCCTCAAGGACCTACTGAGGGATACAGCAGAGGAAGAGACCAGGAAAGCGTACACTGTGTTACGCCTTTTTGCATGCCTGCCTTCAGACTCTTCCTATTCAGAAATATAGTCATATTAATCAAACATTATTTTAAGCAGAAAACTCTAAGCAGTTTAGGTCACGACAATTTTATGATTTTTCAAGTGTTACATATACAGAGAAGAAGCTCAAGGGAAAGCATCTAACTGCACCTGGATCTTCTAACCCTTTAGTACCCTAAAAGAACATTGTTTCTTATAACAGCTACAGATTTCACAGAGTTTGAGTCCACTTAATTTAATCAGTTCTGTTGTACAGACTTACAGTTCTGCTATTCCGCTCCAGTAGGCTCCGAGTGCCACAGTGAACACAGCAATTACAAAGATGACAACCATACTGCAATCAAACTCGGGCAAAGGTGGTGAATAGAGAGTCACATTAATTTCATTTCCAAGAGTCTGAAAAACAACAAACAAGTTGGATCACAGGGACTAGAAGAAAACTGTATTACTTATTTTCCAACACAATACAATTTCCTGCTCTTAACCTAGACAAGGGTAGCAATCATAATTTTAACTTACTGTATAACATATCCCATGCTTTTATCATCACAAAGCACTGATGCCTTTCATGCCACCTTCCAGGATGCTCAGATTTGAAAACAGCCTTATTACTATTGCTGTGACAACAGATAGATAGAACAAGGCAAAAAGGTACTACTTTGCCATCTTACAACACTTCTGAGAAGTTATGCCTGTAGCTCAAACATTTTTCATTCCCCAAATACACCAACTGCTAGCAAAGACCTCAGCTCTGCAGGAAAACATATCTGGAGTGCATTACCTTGAAAAACAGACACACGTTCACTGAGATATGAGCAGAGGTCTGCCTCTCCCTACTGAAACCACAAGCCTCGCAGTTCAGATACAGGCAGGATGCTTCAGACAGGACATGGTGAAAACTCACAGCAACAGAAAGTTTTGAAAGTTTTCACAAACACGATTTGAGATGGATTCAAAAAGAAAAGAAAGCAATTTCATGTAACTTAAAAAACGTAAGACTGCAAAAGGTGAGAGGGAGCAGATGCATAACCAATACCAGTTTGTATAGAAGCCTTCAAAGCAAAACCAATGTGCTTTAACTAGACTGAAAGATGAGAAAGGATGATGATTTGACAGGTGATGGGCAAAGTTTGCTGCTGTCTCTGAAGCAAGCCAGGGCACCTATAGCAGCCCCACATGAGAACAGACTCCAGAGATGTGGTAGAACAGATTTGCTAACAGACTGCATGTGGGATAAAAACAGACATGAATGTGTCAGACAAGTTGGGCTACAGGAAGATCAAACTGGCAGTGGAGAGACTGAATGGGAAGCTGAATAGTGCAGTGGAAAACACTGGCCATTTGTGAAGAAAGTAGATTCATCTCAGCACCTGAATTAGATAATTACAGAAATTAACCTTATTGCAGCCTACAGAAGTCAGAAGTCATTCCTTTGCCTCAAGTTACGGAGGAACAGATTATCAGACTTTTAGAAAATACAAAAGAAAAACAGCTGAAACATTACAGTTGTAGGAAGTGAAACAAATTGGATAAAGGCAAGAAGTCTTACTCTAATTACTGCATCCTGTATGTAAAAACAAACAAAAAACTAATGACTTACACATTTACAGTAGTGAATTACAAATTAGCAGGCTGCATTGGTGGTAGGTGGGTGGCTCCTTTTCCAACCTTCATGATTCTATGATTCTATGTCTAAACCCAGTTCTTCCTTTCAGTTCCACTAAATTTAAGAAGCATAATTCACATCAGAGTATAGAGCACTTATTTCCTTTTGTTACTATTGTTCTGCTCTTCACTGAGAACTTGTGAAGCCTCAATTGCCACTGCAGAGCACTAGAATGAAACACAGCACGAGAACTGCCCATTTCCCAGAAGGTCTGTGACACTGTATTGCAACCAACACTCCTCATGCACCTGATTCAAATGGTGAAAGCTAAAAGAAATGAAGTTTTATACGAAAACACCAACCAGCTCCCCTTAGACTGGTACTGTCACTCTTCTAATTAAAAAGAAGTTGGAAGCTTTGAAAAGCAATAAAACAAACACAGCTGAAATAGGAAGAGTACGATGGCTGACAGCACCTAAGCAGCACATATCATTCAGAACAGCTACTGCTGGTGATGCGACAGAAGGCTTTGGCAAAAAACACAACAGAATTAGGAACGAGTCACTTCAAGGTTAGGCTTTAATTCCTACTACTTTCATGAAGACAGCTTCTTTCTAAGACAAAAAGAGTATTTTTTCTCCTTGATTCAACAGTAGTATGAGACATCACCTGGCACACTAATCTACTAGGAAAGTTACCTGGTGAACTGCTATAGCTGCACAGAAACAACACAGAACAATACTAGGCAATTAAGTTGTTCTGAGTCTTGTCTGCATCAATCAGGGATCTTACCTTGCCCTACTTTCCCTCCAGGTTAGTAAGGCATATATTACAGTCACTCAACTAAGCAAAAATCATTATCTTCTCTTGCTTAAATGAAGACATTTCAGGACAGAGGACAACCTAAACCAAAACTACTCATCCATGAGTACGGCGTATCAATGCTTTGCAAGAACAATCTTTAACAGGAAAACAGAGAAAATAACCAAAATCCTAGATATCCAAGCACAGTTTCAGTTTGCATACTTACCTACTACAACTTCCCACGGCAGCTCTGAAGGTTAAGAGCAGAAATGGTGAAATGAGCTTGCAAATAAAATCCAGGGAGCTAAGACTACACAGGTTGCTGCAAGCCTCTGCTATTTACTGGAAAACACGTGGAGTGCAACTTCTGCCTAGCAAAGCTATTTGACACTAAATAAAACAAACAAATCAAACAAAAACAAATCCCCCTGAATAGAAGTGTAGGAGATACCAAACTGCCAGATTTCAATGCTACGCATTCAGCATCTGACCATGAATTCATCCACAGAAACTTGAATTATACTAACTAACTTCTCCATAATGGATGCTGTCATGCTATAGAAAAGAACATATAATCTTGGAAAGATTAAGAAAAAAGTAAAATAATATTAATAATTTAAAAAATAATCACACTTGGTTTAAGATCCACCTTGACTGCGTGCCTGCAAGATATCACACTGCTAGATGTCAGCTCAGCTGTTCTTGCTTCTGCACTACAGCTCCTGACGTTCGTCAGGCATCCGCAATTCTGTCCAACTCTACTAGAAGGATACTTATCTTGTTTAAGATGAAGATTTTTATTTATGACCCTCCCTCCAGTATTGTTTCCCATTCTTAGTGATCTAATTAAACATTTTCTCAAACTATCTTGAAGAAGAAAGCCTACTTTTGACTTAATATCCATCCTGTGAAAGAGTATCTATTCACATACAAATCAGGAAGACATTCATATCTGATTTGAAATTATTTTATTTATTTGTTCAAAAATCTTAAGACTATACATACCATTACATGCTGAAATTATATTACTTACCAGCTGCATATCCATTATGTCATTATATCTTATAAGAGCAACTGGTAGAGATAAATTTTCAAAATCAGTCTTGTTATCTGAAGGAGGAGACTAGAAGAGAAAGTGTCAGTGGTTCATACGTTGTGTCTGTTTGCCAAGCAGGTTTCTATAAGCAGACTGTCCTTTAGATTTCATCTAAATCTAAATAAAACTTGCAGGGAGGGAAATAGAGCTAGCTCATCACCTCTGGCAAAAGGTTAACAAAGGCAGATGTATTTAAGTCAAAATAGGAGCTACAACCAACACATCTGGATTCATGAAGGCCTTGTGCTTTCACAGGATTATAAGGAATAAACAAAACATGCTTTTTCTTTCCTATGCATTTAAAGCAAAGATCAACTCTTTGTGATGACACAATATCTGAAACTGCAAATATTTGTACTTATACTTTGCAGCTGTAATAGAGAACAAAAAGAAATAACAGGAGTATCTGTAAAGATACGCCAATGCCTTCTGTATTTTCAGTTTCGGATGAAGTTTTCCTGATTTATTTTTTCTCACTGTGTGTTTAAAACAAAATATTACTTATGACAACAGGGAGCATGGTCCTCTGGTCACATGAGCAGTAGCACTGCACTCAGAAGGGAAGATTAACAACTCACACTGGAATTCCACACATCCCCATGGTCCTCTGCTTCTGGGACTTCTCTGAGCTATCTCTGAGCAACACTACCTCAGACCAACAGATAAGACGTTACAGCAGTACAGAAGAAAATCATATGTTGTAACTTACCAGCCTAGCTTTACTGGCAATCAACAGCATTTTAGCACCCAAACTTTGAGCAATTTTTGCTTTCTCCAAAAAAGTGCAGTTTCCTCTCATCACAACAACTGCTTTGTCCTTCATTACAACAGCAGGAACTTCAGAAGAATCGCAGAGTACCGTAGAAGTTAGGTTTTCCAGAGACCTGAAAGTCTGCAGAGAGAAGAGCAGAAAAAAAGCAGTTTGATAACTCACTTTTACCTGGAATTCCTAATCTGAGGTTTCCCACAAAAAGGCATAACAGAAAGGAGCACACATTTAGCAACATAACATCAGGGCAATGGTTTCTACAGCCCACAGTATTGAAGGAGATTGGTAGCTGTGCGTAGCTGAAACATCTGGCTGCTGGTAACAAGTTTCACAGCAGTTGTAGCTGTAATGTAAACATATGACATCAGAAATATTATATTCATATAAATTCCATTGAAATATCATATTACATAGGAAAACTACTGCCCGTAGTTCTGGAGAATCCAGTGTACGTTTTGTAGTATTTTCAGGCTTTATGAGTCAGAAACAAAAACAAAAAACAATGAGTGCAATATAACCAGAGTTCTGAGGCACAACAAGTGTTCAAAAACTGTTGGCACCTCAGAAAAATATTTCTATTCTAAAGTTGAATTCAAGATTGACAATGATTTTAAAATCGTTGTCAGGATTTAGTTAGTGATTCTAGTGCCCAAAGTAGCACAGCAGAGATGGTTGGGAAGACAGGTAATTTTTTTCTGTTTTACACAGAGTTAACCTGCTAATGAATGACAGAAGGGAAAGGAGAGAAATGAGAAGAATAAAACTGCCTTCACCACTTCCAAACACAAAACATTTCCTGTTTATAGCAAAAATGCTGGACGAAGAAGACGTGCTTTTGCCTTACACCCTGGATTGAAAAACTCTCAAAAATGTGGCAGGATGAATGTTCCAGGCAGTCTCCTCTTCCACCACATGGTTTCAAGACAATTAAACAGGAGATCAAACTGACAAACAAATAGGAGAAAGTGTTTCACATGTTTACAACATTTTTTATAAACAAATAAAAAATTTTACTCTCAAATCTAAAACTTGGACATGGTGATGACACTGAAGAAAAAAAAATAATGTATTTAAAACTAGTGTTAAACAGAGAGAGTACCACCTTTATAAATTTTAGAAAAGTCTTGTTAAGGGATACAAATGTTCACTGCAGAAATCTTTTTTTTTTTTCAGTGTAGCACCAATTTAACTCAAAGATACAAAGATCAGTTATAGCTGATCCAGATTCATCTTGTGTTCTAGTTTTCTTATAAAGTATGATTAGAAACTACTTACAGCATTGTCCAGGCTGCTTGGGAGAGTTATCCAGTTAGAATTGTAAGCTATGCAGTAATCCTTTGTTAAGGGAGTTACACCATTTCCAGAAGCATGCAAGATTCCTTCATCTGCATTTATCTGCAATAAACCAAGGTGTTCTGAATTAAGCTTTAGATTATCACTGTAAAGATGTTCCCCTAAAAATCTGTCAGGAAGAGAAAGTGCCTCCAGAATTTTTCAGAAATACATGAATGGATTGATTCTATGAGAGATGGGAAGCTGGGTAACAGGATAGAATCTCAAATATTTGGCAGATGCCCTGTGCTAATCAATGAGAGTGCTACAGAAGTTTCCCTCGCTAGACTGGCTATCAGTATTCTACAGCAAGTGAGACCTACTGAGAAAAGAAAGCCATGTGACGACATTGTTTCAGAGGTTTATGTCTGCCTGGTTTGAATAGCAAAAACCTTCTTCAGAGGAATCCATTCTATTGACCATAGAGCCTGAACATCTGCTGGTAGAACTGTGTCAAAGGGCCTGAGCACATTAACTCTTTAGCACAAAGCAGTTCCTCAGCCGTTGGCGAGACACCATTGTTTCATGATTTATCACTAGTACAGAACTACCAAGACTTCCTCTTAAATGCAGCCACCTGAAAGTACAAATTAATGGCAAATTAAAAGCATAAGGGACTTCAACAGGTGCAAAACCGAGACATTTCCATCCATTAAAGCTCCTTCTGCTTCCTGAAAGAGAATAAGTAGTACTTTCTGTGCTCCAGAAAATCAAGTGTTAATGCTACACTAGCACAAGCCTGCCTAAAAGGAGTGATTACTTGCTGATTTGATACGCATGTTGTGTTTGGCAGGCTTCCTGCTCCAGGGATGAATCAGGGAATACAATTCCTGCTCACAAGGCAGGAGAGGGATCCAGACCTGATATATTCATTGCTGAGCTCTGATCTAGAAGCAAAAAACGAAGAGAAACACAGCATGCTGTACCTTATTTGGAACATCCCAACTGAAGTAATCTTGCATCCAAGTGAATTTTTATTGTTTTGCAATTGCTTCAGTTTTCCTCTTTCACAAAAGACAAAGGCCACAGGTTGGGACTGAAGGACTATCCCACAGGCAGAAAAATGTTCCCACCCGAGAAAAGGGCCCAGCTGCTGCCCCTGGCTGAAAACACTTCTCAATGAATACAATTCTCAATGGTTCTCAAACAATTTGTTGTCTGTTTTTGACCGGTGGTTCCCTCCTCATGCCTCCTTTTACTGTCTTTAGCCTTTCATGTATAATTCCTCATCTTTCATAGAGAATAGGACATCTTTCAATCCTCATTTTTCCTATTATGCATCCGGGTACAGCAGGGATATAAGCCTGGGCTCACTGTTCTGCTTCTGAGCACACTGGTAACCCCTCCACATAGAACACCTCTACTGATGGGATTCAGTGAGCAAGGAGACCAAGCTAAGCCTGTTTATAAGGTCCATCATTGTCAGCATCAAGATAAAACATACAAGAAACTCAAACGCATAGAATATGAGAAAGGTATTTTACAGGCAGCAAGTAACAACATGAACCTCACAGAAAGGTAAGAAGGTGAGAAAGACTCAGCACAAACAGAACAAGCAACATTCATAGTTCTCCATTGGCACTGCGACACAAACACTCCTTCCCTCTGGGCGCTGTGGGCAGGGGAACAGTTCTCCGTGCTTGGAGAGCAGCGGTGGTCCTTCCCTGCATGTCTGCTGCCTGAGCAGCCTGGCTCCTCGTGCTGCCAGTTCGGGGGCACTGCTCTCAGGGCTGGTGAGCTGACCTAACAGCTCAGCTAGAACCAGCCTGCTGAGACACATGCAGAGCACAGGAAGAGGCAGGGCATGGCCTGGAGTTGCACAGGCTGCCAGGAAACACCTGCTGTCAGTAGCAGCAAACCATAGGGTTAAGGCCAAGGAGTAACATCAGAAAACTCCAATGCAACTGACAGCAGCTTCATGGGGCTCACAGATAGCAAGGCAGCACTGTGCAGAGACACGAGCTGCTTCACCCACAGCCACACTCACAGTGATAAAGAAAACTGTGCCTACTTTGAGGCTATCAAGCAGGATACTCTGGGTCCTGACTTACCAAAGCAAGTAAGAAAATACATTTTTTAAAAAAAAGAAACAAGTAAGAAAAAAATCTTAGCAGAGCGGTACATAATGCAGGTGTACCCTCCATACAGCTTCAACAGGTGATGAAGGTCTTTCGCTGCCACGTTTCCCGGCTCCATTAGGCAGGAGGTTACCTACGGCATTCCCCGTACATCCACGAGGCGATGCCCCACGAAGCGTCATTTGCACAACGAACGGGCAAAACAACAGGCCGCAAACGCCCGGCGCGGCCCGTATCTGCGCGCACCCGGAGCCGCGCCGGGGAGCCGCGGGGCCTGGCCCGGGGGAAGGCCGCTGGGGAGGCCTGGGAGCACCTGGGAGCGCACCGAGCCGCCCCCGGAGCGCCGCGAGCCCCGAAACCGCGGCCGGGCCGAAGGAAGAGCCCGCCGCGTCTGCGGGCGGCGAGAGCGACGGGCCCGCGGCGAGGACACCCGGAGCCCCGCGGGGCTGCAGCGCCCGGCCCGGCCCGGCCCCGCCACCGCCCGCCCGGCGCAGAGCCCGGCCGCGGGGCCTCCTCCCTTACCGGCGGGAGCAGCGATCCGCACAGCGCGGCCCACAGCAGCACGGCGGCCCTCATCTTCCTCGGCCGCCGCCGCCCGCTCGGCTACGGGCCGCCCCGCGCCCGTCACGGAGCCTCGGCCGCCGGCTGCCGGGGAGGCTCCACTTCCTCTTCCGCCGGGGGCTGCCGCCGCCAGCCGGGACGGCGCGGCCCCTTCCCTCGGCGCGGCGGGGACGGGCGGCCCCGGGCTCGGCCTGAGGGCGGCGCTGCGCTGCGCTGCTCTGCCCGCCGCCCCGGCTGCCCGGCTCGGGGCTGTCGGCGGCCGGGCGGCACGAAGGGTCCCCGCGAGCGCCCCGTGCCGCCGCGCCGCCCGCCTTCCCAGCAGCGCTTCCTCTCGTCCCGCGCCTTCGCTGTGACTCCGTGCGGGCGGCAGCTAGTTCTCCACCTGACAGCCCCAAGGCTTTGGGCCTCTGTTGTCTCACGCTGCCGTTGCAAATAAAAGGGAACGAGCGCTCTCGCCCCGTGTCTCCGCAGACGGAGCGCTTCGCCTCGCTGCGCTCGCTTTGGTTGACGTGGGTGCGAACACGAAGCCGTGAGAGAGCAGCGCGGGGCGGCGGGCTGCACGGCCTGAAGGAATGGGCTCTGAATAAAGAGTGGTTCGGGAACGGTGGGTTTCTTCAGATCCGCGAGCGCTAGGGCTGTGCCGTGCGCCCTGTGAGAACCGACGTGAGCCGCAGGAAGGAGGCACGCCGAAGCAGCTCAGTGATTTACCACTGAGGAAGTTGTGCAATGTCTTTCAGTGAAGGCTTTTAGGAGCTTTAGGCCCTTCCCAAAGGGCCCGGGCCTGTCTTGTGCCCAACGTGTGTGGGAAAGTGGAGAGACAAAGATAAGGTTGATGTGACCATGGGAAAGAACACAGGAGCAATGGAAAACAGGAGAGAGGAGAGGTAAGCTGTGGTCCCGCTGCACTAAATGAACGTCTCAGCAGAGTAAGGCACCTGCTTGAGTCAGCCATGCACCAACCGTGGTTGTTACGACCATTGGAGAAGGAAGTTCTGCGTGTGTACCTTTCCTTCTGTGTGAGTTGAAGGACAAAGCCTTGTCAAGTATCTACAGGGAACGCTCCCTGCTGCACCGTGGCAAATTTTCAGTAACCAGCTCTGTTGCTGCAAACATCAGAATGTTCACATACTGCTAAATAAGTTGTGTCTCGATTGCACTCTGATGATAACAGCTTCTGCATCCTGCAGGTTTGTGAGGCTGCAGCAGTCTGACTAACATTTCAGTGTGCTAAAACAGTACAAGATAATGGCACACCGTGGCACAACTAACAACTCATGTTCCATGAAAGATTAGTCTTTAAAAGACTGATAGTAAGGAGTACTGTGTCCATCTGTGTGTTTCTGTATGGATGCTGTTGTCAGAATAACTGTGACATGTTACACTGTCCACTACCTCTTCTTCTGAATCTAATAAGATCTCAATGACAGATTACTAAAGATGACTTGAATAAGTCCATCAGTTATGTAAAGATAAAAGAGTGTTGTGTATGTGATGATGTATCCTGAGGATAGAAAGGCCCTACGAAGGGATCTGGACAGGCTGGATCCCTCAGCTGAGGCCAACTGTATGAGCTTCAATAAGACCAAGTGCCAGGTCCTGCACATCAATCACAACTACCCCATACATCACTACAGGCTTGGGGAAGAGTGGCTGGAGCTTACTCGGCATTGGTGTGGCCACACCTCAAGTACTGTGATCAGTTCTGGGCCCCTCACTACAAGAAAGACGTTGAGACCCTAGAGTGTGTCCAGAGTTGGGCAACAAAGCCATGGGGGGTCGGGAATACAAGTCTTGTGGGGAGCAGCTGAGGGAACTGGGATGCTTCAGTCTGGAGAACAGGAGGCTCAGGGAGGACCTCATTACTCTCTGTGACAACCAGAAGGGAGGCTGTAGTGAGCTGGGGGTTGGCCTCTTTTCCCAGGCAATCAGTGATAGGATCAGAGGGAATGGCTTCAAGTTGTGCTGGGGATGTTCAGGTTGGATATTAGGAAAAAATTCTTGTCAGAAAGAGCAGTGAGGCATTGGAACAGGCTGCCTGTGGCAGTGGTGGGAGTCCCTGGAAGTTTTCAAGAAATAGATGTGGCACTGAGGTACATGGTTTAGTGGACAGTTGGACTAAGTGATCTTAGGTTTCTTCCAACCTTAAAGATTCTGTGATCTGATAGATGTTGAAGGATGCTGCACCAACATCTCAAATGTTAAATATGCTCCTTGTAGTCCAGCAGGACTGTGCAGGTTAGAAAGGGAAGAGCCCTAATGCTAGTTCATGACCTAGGCATCCATATATCCTCCTCTGAAATCTTTATTGGCAATTTAAGCAATCCCTAATTTTTAATGTTAGCTTTAACATTTAACCAGATATAAAAGCAAGTAACATAGTGTCAAAGTTCAGCAGTATGAGAAAAAAACAGAAAACCTGTTATTTTATTTTCAACCCCAGACAGGAGACAATTAGGTTGCAAAGATCTTCTGAACCTGGAGAATGACTTCAAGGTCTAAAAAGTAACTCCCCCCCCCCCCCCCCCCCCCCCAACCCCCCAGTTTTCAATCTGAAATTCTTTATTTTGGAGGTAGTAGGGAGGGAAACTCCTACCCATAGCTTCTACCTAAGCAGCATAAGATACCAACAAACCATCCCAAGAATTGCATCCTTCCGGAACTGCCATAATTACATCCATCAAAGAAAATAACAGAAACAACTCTCTCAGAAAAACCCCTTCCCTAACCCAAACATCAACATGAAATAAAACCTGTAATGACTCAGGCATTCCTAAAGCATTTCAAAGCTTTAGGAACACACACGTTTAAAGCAGGCTTTGAGGACATTCGTTTGAAAGCAGAAACTAAGCTAAATAGCCATTAGCACAGAAAATAAATTGTTTGAATAATAATATGCATATACTGAAATCCTTTTTGAAGAGATTATGAAATTATCCCTTCCTTCCATCTGCCTGTATTTCACAACATGCACACACTTCTAAACACAAACTATTTTGCGCATTAGGAAACGCATGTGAAGCATTTTCCATTCCAGTGCCATTCTCCTGATTCTCCAATTGCACTAGGAACTACTTTATGGGGTACTTTTTTTCATGCATATCAGCTTAGCTTTTAAATAAGCTTATCCCAACCAACTTGTCTTTTGTGTTTCTTTTCCTATATCTCTCTATCCATTTCAATCTGTTTTTCTGTTATCTTTGAATTACTATCCACTAATTTTGAGTGAAAAACTGTAAACAGAAGATTGTTGCCTCGTTAGGTAGGTAGCTTGCAAGGGTGGCTATCAGCATCAAACATTCAAAAGAAAATAAAATGCATGATTTTTAGAGGACTAACATTGTAATTAAGAGACTAGACTCTTCAAGCTGAACAGTTATTTCATACAGAAATCAGTAATGCAGAGATTCGGGGTTAATTAACACACAAGCTTCAAAAGGATTGAGGAATTTTTAATGTGTTAATTTCTAAGAACTAAGAGAGAACAGTGACTCAAACACTCAATGTAAATATATTCATAGGAAAATTAAGTAGAGGGCAGAGTAATAGGGCAAAATAAAGCAGGTGACATGAAAAAGGAAGTGGTTTAACCAAAGTAAATTCTACCACCCTAGAAACTCTTGTCTCTTTCACAGTGAAACCTTTTGATTAAAGTGACACAGGGAACATTGTTTCTGAAAGATGCCATCTCTGAGAGACATACCCACATGGCAACAGCCTGACGTTCTTCTATCTCCCCTCAAGAAAATGATCCAACACACAGTAATACTGGCAGTTAAGGATTATTTATTCATTCAAACACACATCTATCAACTTCTCCCCATGTGCTAACAGGCTTATCTGAGCATCAGATAACGTTAATCTACACAATCAAGAGGTGCCTTAGTTTGCTGGACATTATACAGCAGAGAGAACAGCCAATTCAAATGGGATTTTCAAAGGTAATGTTTAAAGAAGTTAAGAGAAACTAGGGAAAGCCTTCCTCACATGCCATTATGCAGCAAGGTCACATTAGCATGCATTAAGGAAGCACTGTAAGCCTTACTTCTGAATTACATTTTCAAGTTTGTGTCATACTCTCAAAGGTATTGAGTCAGGTTTTAATATTCCTTGATGGTAGAGACTGTGAGGGTAAACATGGATAACTGCATTAAAAATCATATTACTTTCACTATTAATTTGCTGCTTTAGCCCTTGTTGAGACTTGACTTTCAACCTTACAGATATTATTTTTAATGGATTCATATGTGCAGAAAATGGGATTGTTTTGATTGGTCTACAAACACTTTGTTTCAGACAGCTCACTATGAAGAGGTTAATTACTCATTATCTGTATAGTCTCCATTCACCTTTGAATTCACAATTCAGATGATGACCTGGAGCTGAAAATTGGTGTTCTTGCCCACCTTGCCCATCTTAACCACATTGAAACTAGATTAAGAAAACTTCTTCCCATTTGAACTGCATTTCTGGATCACATTTCAGGATTTCGGTCATGTTACAGGGTGTACAAAAACAGAACAAGGTGTTCAGTAGCCATACTGCAATGCTTAACAAGTTCATTAGCACTGAGTTGAGGTGATACAGAGCCCTAAGAATACCAGGACACCCCAGACTTCCTGAAAGGGCACAAGTCTTAATTATAACATGATTTTGCTCAGCTGTAAGCTCCCAGGAGAAGACAGCAGTCCTAGTTCAGTATAAGCACCTCACGCTGTGTGCTCTTTTGGCACAAGAACACACAGTGGTAATGCCCCTCCCTACTCAGAAGTGCTCCTGCTGGTTTCTTTCATGCTTCCTTTCTTTGCATAGCATCAGGAGCAAAGGTCTGGCTGGAAAGCTGTTGCAGGTTACCTCCTGGTATCTCAGTCTGCAGTGAGTGCAGAAAATCACTCAGACCCCCTCAGACAGGAGGAAATCTCCATCATCTTTCAGCTCCAACCTGTCCACACTCTTCCAGAGTGAGCACCAGATTGATCCAGTTAATTTCCCTAAGGTTTTGGCAGCACTGTGAACTGAAGCCAAATACACTTTAGCACCACCATTTTAACTCTAAGTTTTCGTTGCTTGGTGTTGATGGAGGCTGTGGTGGGTGCATCAGGCCTCAGCATTCTCCCTCAGCTGTTACAACAGCTGCAACCTTACATTTGTCAGAAAAAAAATGTTGCCTTGTCTTTCAAACTCATACATGCCATCAGTCAGCAACTGCTGAACATAGAGCTAGCATTTGGGGGATCTCCATACAATCTGAAGACACTGCAGAAAGGGCATACCAAAATCCACTGACGTGGCATTGGCAGTCAGCATCACATTAAACAGTGCAAGTGAAGGGTATAAAGTCCCAGCTTAGTCATGCATTTAAGTGCCCAATTTCCTCCATATACTAATTGTACACACCTTACCAATTTTCCACATTGATATTAAGAAAGCTGTCCTGTGCGTGATATGAAATGAACGTTAACATGCACACGTTCTGCTCTCTGCTCATTCCTCATATACATACACCAGAGCATTTCTCCAGGGCTTCTAAATCTGCTTCCCTTGTCTGTCTCATTTTTTCTGTGGTTCCTGTACTTGCCTCTCCCACTTCCTTCTCTAGAATATAAGGAACTAAGCAATAAACAAAGAGACTTTATTTTTTCGTGTAGCAAAACACAACATTGGCTCAGAGCTGCATGTTGTGATAAGTCCCTACCTTAAGGCTCTGTTGAAGAAACAATACTCCAACAGGCCCGTTCCTAGAAAGATCACATTCTGCATGGTACTGGGAAACTTCTTATATATACACATTGTGACCACATGAGTATGAAAGAGGGAAACCACCCATAGAAACAGCCTGGGCCTTATGCGCCAGGCCGTGCTTGGCCTTACATGCCATTACTGTGTAGTTTGCCTGTAGACCCAGAGTCCCTTAGGTGCACAGGAACTTTGGGTATAGACAGAAGCATCTAAAATTGTGAATTTCAATCATTAAATGCCACTCTGAGTCTAAAATCTACTCAGCTAGCCCATATTTTAACATAAAAAGATACACAGTAAGAGTGGTACAACAACTGCAAGGAGTTAAAGTGCAAAGTCTCCCCTTTTTTAAAATATGTGTATTATAAGTGATTTATTCCAAGCAGCCTTACTTTTCTAAAAACATTGTTCTATTTATGGTTAGTCTTCATTTTCTGCCTTGCTGCCAATCTGCAGCATAAAGAACCAGTTTTTATTTCAGGACTCCACACCTTTGCTGTTCTCTCTTCCCTTTCTGTCTTAGGAATTTCAGAACTGAAAGCCAACCATCACGACTCAAACTAGAAGCACAATCTAGTAAACTGTGCAAGTCAGCGCACAGCCAGTATTCCTTTTAACCAGCCCCTCTGAAGAGTTTGCTCTCTTGAGAAAATACAAAGAAACACTAGGAAGGAAGATCTAGCTTCCTACCTCGTATTATCCAACTGCCTAACTGCACCTTAATGATTTTACAACATAGTGCTTTAAGAAACACAAAGCATCTGAAAGCCTTACAGGAGCCCACTCACCAGAGGACATCTTATTGACACACCTGTAACACAACCCTGTTTCTTCCCCCTGTTCACCTCATCTCTCCACAGCAGTTATAAGAGGCAGACAAAGCATTCTTATCATTCACTGTTAAGTTTTTATGGCAGTGTCACAGTGCTGATAACAAAGTACATCCAAAGACAATCAAGCAGCCACGCAATCATCTTCAAGTGGCGGGTGTCATTTCTTGTAATGTTACTGTACTTAGTAGCATGTAATAAATTTCACAACCATGCCTCCATGGAATTTCATATTGCTAAATTTTGCTTATTTTTGCTGGTACAGTAAGCAATTCTTGTCTGTGCAGACTGGAAGCTACAGAACCACGTGGAAGTCCAATATGGCAAAGCCATACAAAGCAATAGCCCTACTGCATGGGTTGCAAGTTGCCATATTACGGGATAACTTGGAATGTAGAGTAATGCCATGCAATTTTTATAAGGCCACAGCAAGAGATAAAAGGACATATTAGGTCATAGAAAAGCAAAATACCTTTTCTAAAAATTGACTGCAAGCTTAGTCAACAGCATGGAATTGTCGGTAAAGCCCAGCAGGGACGTCACAAGATGGACAGACAGTATTTGAAATCACAGCTCTCCTCCACTTTTTTTTTTTTTTTAAAGAAGGCAGATACAGTGCTGAGACTCTGACAGACTTCATGTGAAAGATTTAATCCTGCTCCACTCACGTGTTACTTTATTTCTGAGTATGAAAAAGAAATGATAAAAATGCCATTGAGTCACAGCAGCCTTTCAATGCCACTTTGCATTGTTGGTGTAACTTAATCACAAGACAGATCAACAAGTTTGATCCCTTGGTGTCACTCATTCTTTTTTTCTTTTACATTTTAACTTGACTGAAATAAAATAAACAACAAAAAAACCCACTCCACACTGGCATAATAACTTGTATTGAGCAGTAACAGAATAGACTCGATGGCAAATTGTGCTCTCTAGTGGAGAAATGTGATTCTGTGCAGTAAAGTTGCAAGCCATGCTGATTCATCCACCTGACCAACAGATTTTCAGTGCACAGAAAAATACCAAGAAATTCACAGTATGAAAGGAGTGCAGTGCCTCTTTCAACAGATTTATTATGACCTAGTTTGGTTTATACTGCGTCACATGAGAGACTGCAGCTAAATAAGGCTTCTAATTATACAACAAAGAAAATGCCTGAGACATGCTTTTATGCTTGTTTACATTTAAAAAATAATGGCATCTTTAATGCAATAGCAAAACATTTCCTTTTATAACAGGACTACTGAGTTTACTTGTATACGGTCCTTGTTAACACTGTACGGTGTGATGAAGATGGGTTTTGTACCAGATAGCACTGCTTGCTTTACAGAATGAAGACTGGGATTTTCCTACAAGTTTAATAACAAGATTATCTGTCTGTGTATTTTCAGCCATGAGAACTGACACGATCCCCAACTTCTTTACTTCTAGTTATGCATACACTGCACCCTGATCTTAAAAATATACAGAATGGGTCTTCAGGAAGTACTAATTCTTCTCTGGCTTGTTACCTTCCAACGTTAAGAAAAAACAACCCATCTTCTTCATCACAGCTCTCCTCTCACTGCTCTTTCTGTGTAAGTACAGACTAATGAATACACGAATTCAATTTAATAGCAGATCAGTTAGAATTTATTTTTAAAAATAACTCGACCACTTTATGCTTTCTCAACAGTATACAGAATTTTGCTTCTTTGAACTCTGCATCCTAATTAGGTTGCTGGAATAAGTCTGAGGTTAGAAGTCAGAAATATGAAAGTGTTTAAAAAGCTACATTTATGGTTAACACTCTGATTTTAAATACTATTAAAATATCACATGTATTCTAGTTCAAAAGTAAGGATGTAGCAAGACATGGATATTAAAATTCTTTTTGATGTGGTTGAATGTGACCATCAGCTGTTGACTATTAAGGAGAGTAACATTCTCTTCCTCTTTAGTCCTTAAAGATGAAATATGGGAAGGAAGCATGGGGAAAAAGTTTCTTTTGAGAACACACACAGAAACACAGAACTACCTTTCATGTTCTGACTTCCCTAATATACTGTATTACATGCTTTGCAGTGCAGAACTTCAGCAAAGCCAAGCATTCAGACTTAAGAAGTATCATGAGCTGTAAACAGAATCTTACTAGTTAAAAATCTCCCTTACAAGAAAATGTAGCTGGCAGATATTTTATTTTTAATGAAAAAAGGTTGATAACTGACCTTAAGCCTAGAGCAAGAAGGGAAGAGTTCCAGTAACTTACGGTATAACTGGTGAGGATTGTGAGAAATTTAAATACTTGTATCTAGTTAATGTATCTAGTTATGACAGCAAGCAAATTTCAAAGTCTCTACACCAATACTCACTCATAATTTTGTCAGAGAGCAGCTGTCAGTGATTGGATAAGAGAGAAATCTAGCTCTATTTCAGTAGTTTTAGCATATCACTTAAAATAAATACTATTAAGAACTAAGTGAAAAACTGTAGTTTGGGTATGTCTAAATATCTGTATTTATGAAGTGCTGGAAGTCTGTAATAGGCAGTTTCCATGTAATATTCTCCTGTCTCTGTCACTTAAACCATACTTTAAGTAAAAACCATGTATAAGAAAGACTTCATCCAAGGAAAAAATGTTGAAATTAAGAAGGCAGAATCTGGAGATACCTCTTCAAGTTCTGTAAAGCTATTGCTATGGATAGGTTATAATAGAGAGTGATCTTAGAGTAGGTTTTATTTAAAATTCAACAGGGGTTGTGCAAAATTAGCATGCAGTTGTGAGTATATTGTTATTAGCATTGTTGCATTAACACCCATCAGTTACACTATGGAGGGGAGTAGCTGAGAGAAACACTTGTTTTCCTGAGTGGGTCAGTCTGCAAAACTTGCATTTTTTAGCTACAAAAGCTTAATCACAGAAGACAGAAGTTTCACTGGTTTTTGCAGACTAAACTAGAGTTTGTTCACTATCAAAAGCCTTGGAGAAATAAAACAAAGAAACAAAAAAAACCTCCAAATTACTGCTCAGTAGAATTATGCCTCAGGTTGTAAACCATCAAAAAATTAGGTCAAAAGTTGTATTGCAGGCTATGAGATCCTACCTAGAAATTCAATTTATCTCACATAAGAAGTGCAAACATCTTGTCTTTCAAATAAAATCAATCTTTGCATTTCTTGAAGAGAAGAGAAAAACAAACCAAAACCCCAGTCGATTCAAATAACCTTCCTATCCCCTCCTACAAGACAACTTTGAGGTTTTTGGGACACAGCTAGGAAGTCATCCACAGTAACAAACTACAGTTGCTACTACAGCACCGCCATCATGGAACACATTAAGGATAATTTCCAGTAACTCCTTCAGAAGCTATTGTGCAAAGAATGCAAAAGCTTGCACTGACCTATTATAATTTAAGTACTCGCTATACTCCATGATAAAGAGGTTTTAGTGAATCTGAAAGCACAGTCCAGAAGACTTTTGTAAGACAGAGCAGATGTCAGCCTTCTTTCAATTTCCTATAGCTCAGCAGCTGTAGAAGTGCCATTTGTGTAGCCACCTTTAGACTTCATGTGGTCCTGAATTGATACAGCCTAGGAAAAAAAGAAAAAAGAAAAAGACGGTTTAGAATTAAAACATTCATCTTATAAAGCCTGGTTGGCAGAGCAATTTTTAGAAGTATTAATTTAATTAATCAATTTGCTCTGGGCAGCCTGGTGTAGCGGTTGGCGACCATGCCCGTGACAGGGAGGCTTAAACTAGATGATCATTATGGTCCTTTTCAACCCAGGCTATTCTATGATTCTATGATAAAGAGGCAGATGAGCCATTTGATTACAGTGCTGGGTTCCAACAGTAATGGGGAGAAGTAGCAACTAAACCCAGAACTTTTAAATATTATTTTAAGTCAGTGCATGAAATGGGTCTCACTGTCCCAAATTCAACTACTCTCACATCCCTCATCCTTACACAACTTTAGCTGTTGATGTGAAATGGACCTGCCAAGTGCTTCCACAGAATCATTATCCCAGCAGGCTCCTATCAGATACAGTGACACTGGGGAATACAGATTCTCCTGCTGAACATATCCTCTCATAGTGCTGCATATGTACAAACCAAGGGACAATTCTGTTTTTTCCTCTCATACTATCATCTCATATTTTAGGATCTACCAGCTTTACGGGCTGCTGAACTGAGATCTCTGCTTACCCAAGAGTGCGCACTTACTGATGAAAAGTCACTACTCATCTCTCTTATCCCCACATGTGCATTGTGAACAAAGTTCATTGGTTCTCCTATCATGTTCCGGTCCAATCGCTGACGCCTCTTCTATGAGAAAGAAGATACTTCATGTTTCTAACTCACAAAATATGAGGCAGCTGTCAGGCAGAAACAAGCAGCCAGTTAAAAAACAACGACAAAATCAGTGCTGTCCCCCTTAAGTGACTCCTTATGGCAATGTAGCTGAAGTTTTTGGCTGCTCACAGTAGGGTAGGCTCAAACTCACCTTTATTACTGCTGTTTGATATTCAGCAAAAGGTTGGGAAAGTCATTCCCCTTCATGCAGGGGCTGAGACTGCAAGCAGTCACATAGACAACGCTTCTGGCTAAAATACATGCAGTTCAAACACAGCATAACACATCCATTTTTAGCATTTACATTACGTATCTCAGTTAATCAAGAGAACATGACAATGACAGCGTTTTCCATATAACCAAAAGACAAAATTATGAATCTGTAAATCAGAAAAGAGATCACAGCTGTGCATCTACCTACCGGCTGGGGCTGCTCACCGTTGCACCAGTTAAAACAAACCAGGAACTCAGTCATTGTATCTTTTCAGTAGGTTGTAAGGTCTTGTTATTGAATTATTTCTCTGAAGTGAGTTTAGGAAGGAATCGCTTCTGTAGATCCACAGGTAAAGATCACACACAGTACCTGACAGATATACCTGGAAAAAGTTTATTGTTTAATTTATATGAAAATGCAGATGGTTTGTAGCAGTTATTGAGATATAAACACTTCAACAAGACTAAAACAAGAGCATAAGATAATTGGTTTAAACATATCTGTACAGAAAAGTGGGGTCAATTTAAAGATCAGTACGTTCATATCGGAAATCAGCACTGGGAGGTGCATGTTTATTCCCAGGCAGACAGTAGAATATATTCCAGTTTCTTGACAAAAGTGTAATTACAGCAACACAAGAATTACATCAAGTCCCCTTCAACAGTTGATGGCCCTGTGCAGGTAGAGCTTGCCAAAGCTGCTCAACTCTTTTAGTGTTTCCAGAGATAATAGCCTCAAGAGACAACAGATTGAATGCTTAAGCTTTATGAACAGTTGCAAGAGAAAGTCTTCTTTCATCTTCTGTACTAAAGAGAACCCCCAAAAGCCCTTAGACTACACACACACACAAGAGCTTTTTAGCTCTTTATATCAGCAACAAAACCTGTTAATCAGACAAAGCCTAGAGCTTCCCAGAACACAGAACTGTTAACACAGCAGTCCTAAGCCAGAGGAACAAACAGGAAATCTCCCTGGCTGTATGCACCCTAAAGCTGTGAAAAAACCCAACTTTCTAGGTTTAGGGATTCATAAGCTCCTTCAAATAAAAATCAGGGCTCTGGAAAAGCCTTTCATAACCACCTTTTCATATTCCAGATTATTAAAGCACGACAGTAACAGGTTCATCTATTTAAAAGCTTTTTAAAAGGCTTACAGCTTAACAAAATTTGCAACATCATAAATGCAGCCATTCTGAATCAACACTGAAGTCTCCACAAACTGTGCAAACTCCCCTTTCACAAGCATCTCTTGTACAGTCCCACAGCAGTGTGATTAGCACTTCTATTTCTTTCAGCCCGGAGCCTTCCCTCACCTCCTCATTTCTCACACTTCAAGCAGATTTAAATTTCTGCCATTTATCCTTCAGAGCTTTTGTTACATTTGCCTCTTAGCTGTAGGTGCCCTATATGATACATTACTGCAGAATGCAAAGCTTCCATTTTATACTGGATGGTTTTAATACAACTCATTCTCTGGCTAAATTACCATATTTCAGTCACTTGGTTCTCTCACCCAGGCCATTATCACTACTGTGTGAGCACAGCAAAGGCACTGTGACCCCACAGGAGCATGCAGAAATCAAAGCTGTTGCCTACACTTCGCATTAATCAAAGGCTGTTTGGGTTTATTTCATGTTAAGGAGACCATCAAATCTACAGTCTTGTTAAAAATCATACAGCACGTCTGTACACCAATAACCTACTCTGAAATCAGGCTTACTGAGAGTTGATCAGCATCAAATCAGATGGGGACACCTCCCAGCCCCCCCTGCAGTTGCAGCATACCCCTGCCATCAGCCCCGCGCTCACTGTATACCTGTGCCCCAAAGGCGTCCCACTGCTCGTCCTCCTTCAAGTGCCGGTGTGCAGCCAGCTCCTGGCTTGGCAGCCTCGGTGCAGTTGCAGCTCGTGTCCCTGGCCTGCAATCCTGATGGCTAAAAGGGCTTATTCAGTGCTGCTCCGTGCCCTCTTCACTTCAGAACTTGCCGCAGAAGTCTGTGTTGCAGCGTGCTTCAGACTCACTACAGGTGTCAGAAAAGGGAATGGGAGCCAGAACGGCACTGTGGTTTGGCAGGAGATTCGTGCAGCAGCGCAGCTCCCTCAGCACTACCACACAGCCCGTGGCTCACTTCCACGCCTGCGGCAGCTCTGCAGGTGTCATCCCAGCAAACCGCAGCACCGCACGCCTTCCTGTTGTGCTCCACAGCTGAGCTCCTCTTTTCCTCTGCGCAGGTCAGGGGGTCATCCTCCAGAGCAGGAACGTCCGCCTGCAGACACGGGGCACCACCTTCCTCCCAGGGACTCAAGGTTTCCACAGTAACTGCAAGAATTTAAAAACACATCTTCACGCATTTGGGCGCACCCGTGAGTAATAAAAGCCAACCAGAATCCCGACACCGCAGAGAAAACAACATTTTGTCACTGTTGGCACAGGGGCCAGAAGCGGACAATATCCTGTTGTTCTTTCCCTCTATTTTTCCCCACAGCAGCACTATCGTCAAGAAGAGAGAGACAAAGGGCCGGGGGAGCGGCTAGCACGCGCAGACACAGATGCTGAATGCGAGGGGCAGGGCATGGCCGTGCTGAGCCCACAGTGCCTGCATTCCAGATACCCCTTACTGAGCATAACATCCAGTTCGCCCTGCCATTGCTGCGCATTATTGCTCAGCTATTACTCACGAGGCGTTACCGTCCCCCAATGGCCGTATGCTGGATATCTGAGTGGTGAGGTGTGGCAGAGGCAGCACCTCGTGCTTCTATACCAAAAACGGGTTTTGGGCACGATGTGAAACTTGAAGGGCGCAGCAAAATTATTCTGCTTGGTGAATGAGATTTGGAACAGAAATAACAGCACGAAACTACACTGTGGAAGAAGCTCAGAGCCCAACAGACGTGTCTTACAGACGCGGTTTGGGATCAGCGCCGGAGCCCTGTGACAGCACCGCGCGGCCCGGTGCTGCGCCGGCTTTCTGCAACCGCCGCCCGCAGACCGGGCACGGAGGCTCCGCGCGGGGCTCCCTGAGCGCCGCCGCCGGCACCGCCAGTCCGAGGCCCTGCGCCCGTCGCAAAGCGCAGACGACCTGCGCCACCAAACCGGCACCGGCACCGCGACCCGGCACGGCTACACGGCAGGGCCGGCGCCGCCTGCCACGCCCGCCTGAGCTGAGCTCGGGCCCCGAGGGCGGGCCGTGACCTTGACTGGAGCGGATGGCGGCGCGGCTCCCGCACAGGACAGCAGGGCCGGACAGCAGGGCAGCACGGCAGCGGCCCCGCACCGCCGCGCTCTGCCCCCCACCCCGTCCCGCCGGGGCCTACAGCGGCGCCGCATGGCGGCCCGGCCGTGCCGGCTCGCCCCTCGCTGCCCGCAGCGCGGCCGTCAGCGCCGCCGGACGGAACCACCCGAGCGCGCGAGGGGAGAGCGCGGCCTCAACGCCGCAACGCTGCGCCTCCGCGCGGCGCCTCGCGGCTCGATTTCCCCCCCCCCGCCTCCCGGGCGCGGTAGCGCCGCCGCCGTGGCGACGCCCACCCTCGGCTCGACGGCCAATAAGCGCCACCCAGCTGCAGCGCTGCGGCCCTATCGGACGCGAGGCGAGCTCGCCCTACCCAATGGGCGCCAGGCGCACGGCGTCGCGAGCTCGCCATTGGCCGCGGCGGGGCGGCGGCCGCCCAATAGGCGCGCAGCAGCGCAGGGAAGCCCCATGCAGCGGGTGCCGGCCTCCCTTTGCGGAGCGCTCCGGCGCGGCGCGCACCGGCCCTGCTGCTCCCTGCTCCTCCGGCCATGGCGCTGCCCGGCAGTTGACGTTGGGCTTCTCCCCTTTCATCTCCTCTCTCTCTCTCCCCCGCCCCTCTCCTCCCCGGGTCCCGGCTCAGGCACGTAGGCGGCCGCTACCGGCGACCCCGAGTCCCCGTCCCCGTCCTCCTTTCCTACCCCCCCTCCACCCGGAACGGGCTGTAGGAGTCGGGCCGGGCGGCTGTCGGCCGCGCCATGAACATCATCATCGGCATCGGCGGGTGAGCGCGGCGGGCGGGGCGCTCCCTCGTGCCGCAGTGCGCGGGGTGCGGCGGGCGGGGGTTGGAAGGCGCCGCCTGGCTCCGCGGGCGGCCGCGCGCACGTGGCCCGAGGGGCGCCGCCCCGGCCCGGCGGTGACGGCCCGCGCTCCCTCCCAGGGTCACCAACGGGGGCAAGACCACCCTCACCCGCAGGCTGATGCAGGCCCTGCCCAACTGCAGCGTGGTGCACCAGGACGACTTCTTCAAGGTGAGTGTGTTCGCGGCCGGCTGGGCGGTCGGAACGGCGGCTGCGTTATCGTCCCTCGTTCCCGGCGCCCGTTATCTGCGCGCAGGGACTGCTGCAGGGCTGGGGCGCCCTCCAAATTCCGCTCTGCGTTTCTGCTTTGTGACGGTGCCGGTCCCAGCAGCTGCCTCGACCAAGCAGTTTTTTCTTATTGCTGTTTCAGCCTCAAGATGAAATAGAAGTTGAAGATGGCTTTAAGCAGTACGATGGTAAGGTCTCTCCCCAGCATTATTGAACAGCGTAGCTCCAACTTAACACTGTGATCCTTCTTGGTGCTGAGTGATACCAGCTGGTGCCCAATTACTGGCTAACGATAGCATTCTGTCTCAGTGATCAGCGCGTTAGATATGGAGGCGATGATGAGTACCATAAATGCTTGGATAAAGAACCCGGTCAAGTTTGAACGCTCCCATGGGATCAACAACACGCTGGATGCCCAGATCTCACCAGACAGGGAGGGAGGAGATGAAGTGATCCACATCCTTATTATCGAGGGCTTCCTGCTTTATACCTACAGGTACGTGCAGTACAACTTCATGTATTTTGATTGTGACTTTACATAATACCAAAGGTGCCAATATTGACTGATGGGAGTTCAGGTGTCACAGGCCTGAAGTACGCGCCAGCCAGAAGAGACAGGCGTAGTTTTCCCTTTCTGTTCCTTGGTACAGGCAAGCTGTAACCCAGCACACATCTCTTGCAGGCCCCTGATTGATGTATTCAACCATCGCTACTTTCTTTCCATTCCATATGAGGAGTGTAAAAGGAGAAGAAGGTGAGTTTCTTTGTAAATTCCTCTGTGAGCCCAGTAACACCTTCAGCAGCTCAAGACTTGGTTTCTCCTTAAAGCTTTTTTTTTTTTCTTCCTTTGATAGGCAAATCATTAATGTAGTTACTATGTTGAAAAACCAGAGTTCCTTCCAGCAATCAAACCCTACAAGTTTTTAATCAGGCTATTGTGGACAGACAACTATTTCACCCAAACGTCTCCTAAACCTGCAGCAGAAGACTATTCATGAATACCACCATCAGTCATTTAGGAATCATTTTTGCATCTTGCACACTACAAACCATTGCACATCAATTTTTTTTTTTTTAGCACCTCTGCTTGCTGGTGGTAGCACTGTTGATAAGGTTAAAACTACACTGAATGAAATACAAGAATATAAACAATGAAATTCAAGATTAGGTGTAGAAAAACGTAGTGTACATTACATAACTTGCCTGAACTTTAATTAGACTACTCTTGAATAACACTGTGTTAATTTATAGTTCAAGGAATTACACTGTACCTGATCCACCTGGATTGTTTGATGGCCACGTTTGGCCTATGTATGTAAAGCACAGGAAGATAATGGAAGATCTTGGTGTTGACGTGGGTAAGTCTTTAGTAACTGAAGCACTTTTATAAGGCTGTTAAAGAAAAAGCTTTTTAAAGTCTAGGAGATATACACACACTACCTGAAACTGTTGGATGGAGTATGTTTTTTCCAGTAAGGCAAATGCATGCTCTTCAAATTAGAATCTGACAGGGTTAGAGAAGCATAATTCTATTATAGCTCTCATTTTACATTCTTATTTTAAGTGCACTTGAATGGAACAAAATCCAAGGAAGAACTGTTTAATGAGGTGTATGGAGAGATCCAAAATAAGATTGAAGAATTACTTAACATGCAGGTACGTCTTCATGCTTCTAATTGGAATTCCAGGGCAAACCTTTTAAAGGCTATGTTGAAAAAGCATGAAGCTGTAACTTAAAACGTATGTATTTTTCTGTTTAGAAATAAGCTTCTACTGATTCTTGTGACTGAAGATGACTCCTGTTTGCTCTGTGCTGTCTACCTGACTGCCATTGAAGTTCCAGCTTCTGTGAAGACTCAACTCCTGAATTTGGCTTCATTGAGTTTTCTCCTAAAACTGAGTTACATACGGTCATTAAAAAGCATTTCCCCCTAAGCTGTCATCTTAATTTGTGCTTGAGCCTAGTAGCTGACCTCATGTGCTTTAAGCCATCACCATCTAGTCTTCTGTACTTGCATGTACTTAAATTATAATAGTAAAGCACATAACAGAACTGATGTTAGGTGGCACAACTCTGCTAATATGCATTCATTACACCATTGTTCACTATAACTATACATCAAACACAAAGCTTTTCACCTAGAAAACAGATGAGGCTTTTACAAAAAAGCCAGGTGTGAGAAAAGCTGAATAATGCAACTGCTTTCAAGTCATGTCTGAGAGAAAGGGTTAGGGCTTCATCTGATGTTAATAGCAATGGGAAAGCTGCCAGCTGTTTCCCTTTACTAACCTGCTCTGAGTTCTATAATCCTTCCACAGTTCAGTAGGAAGTATACTTCTTTCTGAAGAAATTAGTATGGAGTAGGCATTTCAAAAATCAGAACAAGAGCTGGTCAGGATGTTTTACTAGCATTTAATTATTTTATTAAGTGCACGTTTAGATCTTGGAAGCAAGGAATTTGATGTACAGTCACAGAAAATCCCTCACATACAAAATTGATTTAAGGGCATTGATTACTGTAGGAAGTTTCAGTAGTAGCTTGCAGCTGAAGGAAGCTCATACTTGAGTTGAAACTGCTATCTACGTACAGAATTAATGCAAGGCCTCGGATCACACAGAAGAAAGTAGTAAGGCTTAATCCCTAGGAGGTAGAAAGCTAAAGTTTGGGACAAAAATTTGATTTGAGAAGTTTGTCTATTGAGGAGGTGTCCAAAAGGAAGTATACATACTCATCCAGCACGAGGCCAGTCTTATTTCTTCAAGAACTTGAGCTGAGAACCAACGTTTACTTCAAGCCTAGATGCATCAGCTTTCTGATAGGAGCTGGTCCTCCCCAGTATCCCCTGGAAAGGAAGAGTTGCTTCATCAAGTCAAAGACATTTATCTGCACACGTTATCACAGCGTGAGGAAGGATTTTTTTATTTTTTTATTTTTTTATTTTTTACTTTCGTATGATATTTTCATTTACTAAGGTGGAGTGCTAGAGGTATAAAGTGAAATATTCTAGCACAAAATCCTATTCGTGGCAAAGCACCCAGAACACTCAACAAGTTGAGGACTTAGTCATGACTAAACATACACGTCAGTTGCCAGATTTGCAGGATAAGTTCAACAACTTCTGTTCTTATGAAGAATTGTAAGCCAGAACAGATACCTGGCTTTGCCTTGAAAAAAATCACAGCAGCTATGCCTGCCCTGACTTAAAATACTTACTTGAGTAACGCATTCCAATAGAGAAAGGGCATCATATCAGCTTTCATATGGTACATTGTTGTCCTCTGTTTACTTTGGTCAATGGGAAAGGTCTCCAAAGGCTGAGCATTGTAGTCAAATTCTGCTAGAATCACCTTGTTATAGCTTGTTACTAGTGGGCAGGAAGTATATCCATCATACTGCAACAAAGAATACACATTAATCTGATTAAAGGCTAAATGCTGAAGTATTGCAAGCTATATGATTAACATTCTTATTTCAAAATAAGTTTCTAGGTTTCTGCATTTATAGTGTTAATAATATTAAGTTTAAAACGCTGCCAATTTGGGTCAGTGATCATAACTAAGCCATTTTCTTTCAGTTGCAGATCATAGATTGGCATTTTAACAGTGCTTGGAGTCAACCTCAACAACTGCCTAAAGGGCTTT